GGCTGCTGTCAATTTTATTGCTTTATCCTAGTTACTAGGATAGACTCTGCAGCCACAGTGTTTATTGGTTTTATGTATCGCATGTTGTTGCTGCTCTGACAAGCTACTCCTATAAAAATGTGTTATTATTGCACGTTGTAGCTCAGTGAGCTGACCGTGCATTTCAAAGTGTACTGAAGCAAATAGCGATGAAGTCCATAAAAACTGACTGGCCCCCATCACAGAGGATGCTCTGAGTGGACTGCAACTCCCACAGTCTGGAAGCAAATTATACCTTTCCCCTGTGCCAGCGGCCCTGACTGCTAACTGAACACAACACAGACCCAAACACAGGCATTATCTATGTCTCCAAGTTAAATTTCAGGACAGCAAACTGTCATTTTACTTCTACTCATCTAATTCCCCAATAAGTGATGCTTGCAATTTTGAAGTTTATAAAAATATGAAATAAATGGCTTTACAATACTTTCATATATTACTATAGGATGCATGGGGGGTGGCTGACATTGCTTTCCATCTGTTCTGAATGCCGAAAAGAAAATTAATTTGAATTACAGCAAGAGAGGAGGTGGTTAGTTCTAAGCAAGTCATGACTGAGGGGGGTCCTGGGTGTTGAGCTAGAATCAATTGCCTGAGACATTAAGAATTAGGATGCCTGAGACTTTAAGAATTAGGATGCCTAATACAACAGGAGTTAGTCTGGCTGCAGAGAAGTCAGCAGCCCAGTGTGACTCCCAGAGCTCCCAGACACTGGTTTATCACCAGAGTCATTGGGGAAATTCTTTACAGAGCAGATTTCCAGGCCCCACCCTGTATATGTTGGGATTCTGTTAGACTAGGGTTGGCCTTGGACTTTTAGCCAAGTTATTTCATGTAAAATCCTTCAACTTTATCAAATAGTAACAGAAATACGTGTCAGACTCCATGAGCTAAAAAACTATGCCATACCCTATAAGAGGAAATGTCCCAACAAAATGGGAAGAAAAGGTTAAGGAGGCTTCCAGTCCAAGAGTGAGGCACCTGGGCAAGCAGCTCATTAGTCTCTACTGCCATCACCACCAGGCCACAAGCCTCTGTTCCTCACTACCCTGTTCTGCCACCTATCCATCCCCACTCCATCCCAGCTACTGACAGTGGAAATCACTTATTGAATACTGTAGGTCTTGAAAAAGGAATTTGGAATTTGGAAAACTCAGCAGTGGCCACGGGACTGGAAAAGTCAGTTTTCATTCCAACCCCAAAGAAAGGTAATGCCAAAGAATGTTCAAACTACCACAAAATTGCACTCATTTCACACACTAGCAAAGTAATGCTCCAAATACTCCAAGGCAGACTTCAACAGTACGTGAACTGAGAACTTCTAGATTCACAAGTTGGATTTAGAAAAGGCAGAGGAACCAGAGATCAAATTGCCAACATCTGTTGGATCATAGAAAATGCAAGAGAATTTCAGAGAAACATCTACTCTGCTTCATTGATTATGCTAAAGCCTTTGACTGTGTGGATCACAACAAACTGTGCAAAATTCTTAAAGAGATAGAAATACCAGACCACCTTATCTGCCACCTGAGAAACCTGTATGCAGGTAAGAAGCAACAGTTAGAACTGGACATAGAACACTAGACTGGTTCCAAATTGGGAAAGGGGTACATCAAAGCTGTATATTGTCACCCTGCTTACTTAACTTATATGCAGAGTACATCATGCAAAATGCCAGGCTGGATGAAGCTCAAGCTGGAATCAAGATTGCCAGGAGAAATATCAATAACCTTAGATATGCAGATGACACCACTCTTATGGCAGAAAGCGAAGAGGAGCTAAAGTGTCTCTTGATGAAAGTGAAAGAGGAGAGTGAAAAAGCTGGCTTAAAACTCAACATTCAAAAAACTAAGATCATTAAGTAGATGGGGAAACAATGGAAACAGTGACAGACTTTATTTTCTTGGGCTCCAAAATCACTGTAGATGGTGAGTGCAGTCATGAAATTAAAAGATGTTTGCTCCTCGGAAGAAAAGCTATGACCAACCTAGACAGCATATTGAAAAGCAAAGACATTACTTTGCCAACAAAGCTCTGTATAGTCAAAGCTATGGTTTTTCCAGTAGTCATGTATGGATGTGAAAGCTGGACAATAAAGAAAGCTGAGCACCAAAGAATTGATGCTGTTGAATTGCGGTGTTGGAGAAGACTCTTGAGAGTCCCTTGGATGGCAAGAAGATCAAACCAGTCAATCTTAAAGGAAATCAGTCCTGACTACCCAATGGAAGGACTGATGCTGAAGTTGAAACTCCAATACTTTGACCACCTGATGCAAAGAACTGACTCATTTGAAAGACCCTGATGCTGGGAAAGATTGAAGGCAGGAGGAGAAGGGGATGACAGAGGATGAGATGGCTGGATGGCATCACTGACTCGATGGACATGAGTTTGAATAAGCTCCGGAAGTTGGTGATAGACAGGGAAGCCTGGCATGCTGCTGTCCATGGGGTCACAGAGAGTTGGACAAGACTGAGCAACTGAACTGAACTGAATCTACCATTTTTAAATTTGGTTTTAAAAAGCCATTATTGCTCATGAAAGATTAAACAGTGAACTACATTGAACATTCACCTCTTGCTGCCTACCTTTTCCTCCATTTTTACATAATATTCTCTAAACACTTGACTGTTCAAGACATGACACTAGATCCTGCAAAGAGAAGCAGAGGACAGGGAACCACCTGAGCATTCATCCATCGCCGCCTTCTCCATTCATGTCAGTTCATGGGCTTTCTAAATAGCTTGGGGCATTCTTTTTTCTCTTTCTACTCTTCTTGGAAAGGATCTAAATATCCAACAAGAGATAAAGGATTAAATAAGGTAAGGAAAGACACTCTATGTTCTTGGGTGGGATAAGAGCATAAACATGCTGATACTACCAGGAAATAAAGAAACACAGATTAAAATAAGATAAGGTTTATATCTAGTAGTCTGGCAAAAAAAGGAGACTGGATACTAGTGTAGGTGGGAAGTGAGCTTATAGGAACTGCATACACTGCTTAGGGGTGTAGACTGGTGTAGCTATTGTAGAACCACGAGGCAAAAATTCATCAAATTAAATACATCACCCACCAATCCTGCGCTGGGTGTGTATGACAAGAAAATTTCACAATTCCACAATGGTATTCTGTGCATCATTGTTTCTTTATGGGTGAGTTCAAATCCATTTGAGGGGTCATCACTAGGGAAATGGGCATTTAAAACACCTAAGATGCACATCATGAGGCATCATCCAGTAACTAGAAGTGGTGAGTTAGACACAGCTATAGCAATGTAGCTGAATCTTAAGCACACGGTGTGGGAGGAGGTCATGGAGAAGACATGATCACCAGTTGACCCGAAGTTGGACCCATCATTTGGAGTCTCCTCACCCCCTTCCCTGTCCTCGTAAAGTATGTGTGGTGTTCCCATAGGAGGAGTCGTTTTCAAGGACTTGGCCTTGAGAGAGCAAGGTGCCACGATCATCTGCACGTTATACATGCCTGAATCCTGTTAAAGCCTCTATGTTAACCTTTAGGCACATAATCTGTGGGTTTTATTTATTTTTCCTCCCATTTAGGTTGCCCTCCGAGATTCGAAGACTTCCCCCAGACCCGCCAGTGTGAGAGTTTCCTGGTGTTTGGAAACTTCCTCTATTAAGACTCCCTTCCCGGGACGGGTCTCCGTCCCTAGCTCTTTTGTCTCTCTTTTTATCTTTTATATTTTGTCCTACCTCCTTTCAAAGACAATGGGCTGCTTTTCTGGGCTCCTGATGTCCTCAGCTAGCGATCAGAAGTTGTTTTGTGAAGTTTGCTCTGCGTTCAATTGTTCTTTCGATGAATTTGTAGAGGAGAAAGTGGTCTCCCCATCCTATTCCTCCACCATTTTGGCTCCTCCCTCTATGTTAACCTTTAAAACCCTGGCAGGTGGGTGTGGAGACCCCCTTGTCCCGGGGCCACCGCAGAGAAGCCTCGTCGGTGAGTCCCCTGCTTATAAACCTGCCGCCTACCACCCTGGGGCTGCTGTCTCTTCAGTCTCCCCTTGTCTTCCACGTATGAGAGCCAGTTTGGGAACCAACATATAGACCTTAATGGAAAAAACAAACACCCAAATGACTTATTAACATGATTTTCATAAATTAAAAATACATGTATACAGAACAATGATACTTACATTTTTTAAGAACACAAACAATTAACATAGTTGCCTATGGGGCAGGAGAGGAGGCTGGATGGGAGTGTAGGGGTAAGTTAAATGAATCCTGGCTCCAAGGTTGATGAGTCAAGACTTTAGAGCAGGAAGACCTCAATCCAAGTCTGAGGTTCTCTCCTTGTGCATGTGTTCAGGAGAGGAAATACTGCGTCAGGTCTTTAACATGAAACGCCATGTGGTCATTACGTAGTATTGCAGGATACTTAGAGACACCGAAATCTATTTTTGATTTAATACTAAGCAAAAGAAGTTACCCAACATCATGCCCACTATTATTTCCTTTTTTCTGTTAAAAAAAAATCCATATAAATTGAAGAATAAAAGTGTCTGGGGAAGGGCAGTGACTTAATCCTTTTTTTGCTTTTCTGTATTTGTAATTTGCCTTCACTTGACCATGTATTGCACAATAAAGAAAAATAAGAATTTTTAAAGACTTTTTTGGCTTTCAAAACAGCGCAAGAATAAAGAAATGGTGAGAATTTCCAGTACTGAAAAAGGAGGTGGAATTTTTCTAAAGCTTTGCAATTTCAAAGGTAAGTGCTTAAGCCCAAGCTTCCTGGATCGCTCTTTGCTTTCCCTTGAGAACAGAAGGAGCCCCGGGTGTCCTAAGGATCCCTCTGGGAAGGGGCAGCAGCCAAGAGGCTGAGAGTCATCTTACCGGGCGGCCCTGAGCTGACAGGCACGGGAGACCGTCCACAGGAACTGCCTTCAGTCCCCCACGAGAGTGAGTCTGCCTGCAGCCGCGGAAAGCCACTTCAGCACAACACTGTTTCAGTGTTTGTATTCCAAAGAGACAGGACTTTCAGGCAAAGGATATCTATTTAGACAGGCTATGGCTGGAGGAGATGGCGATGCCAGCTGACATGTGAAGGCCGGGTAGTGGCAACATGCTTGCTTTAGGCCTTGCAAACAGCTCCTTTCTTCACGTCTAGGTTCTGACAGCTGTCTCTTCAGTGCTTCGGTGAAACAGCCAGTGACTTTGGGAGATGCTTTCAGCTTTATAACATTAAGAGCCTTTTTGTAAAGCTCTGTGGGGCAGTTCCTAGAAACCATCTGCAATGGATCTTCTTCCTTTCCCCCTACATCTGAACAGACTCGGTGGCATGTCAGAAAACATACAGGGAACTTCGGTCTTGGGAACAGAGCCCTTTTGGGGAGTGTTTGCCTGCATCCAAGTATTGGGACTGACAGCCCCATCGCAGCCTGTGACGTTACAAGGTGTCGATCTCATCTTTCGGAATGCATGTCCCAGCAATTTATGAGATGCTGGCGCTAAAGCCTCCAGTCCAGAGTCTACGGTGTCTGAACTGCCAGAGAACCTGAACCTGGGCCAAATGATTGACTTTCAGTATAAAAAAAAGTAGTGAAACCAAAGTTCAACAAAGCTGTGGTGATTTTCCAGCTTTCCTACATATATGAGATGCATACAGTACTAACTGGGGTAGGAGGTAGAAAGAGAGGAATACACAAAATGATGACATTGAGGAAAGTGTTAAGAACATACTGGTAGGAAGGAAATTAAATTGAGTGAACTGCCCTACCATTGAGTTGCTTAATGTCCAGCCTATACTGAAGCAAGCAAATTTCCACAGTTAATAGAGCTACATTTTTTCATGTAACATTTGTGTTGTGAACCAAAAATCTAGAAGGGAAATTGCCTACTGATTAATTACAACTAATAAAGGACCCGATTACAGAGAACGATTAGCTTCCTTGGCTCATGGCTTCCCACTGATCATGTTTGTAATTTTGCATAATATGATTTTCTGCATATAAACTTAAAAAGAGAAAATGAGGTGGCTTAGATCATTCAGAGGGGCCTGGATCTGAATTCAAGTGCAAGATACCTGGTAACGTTTAGAAAGGTCAAGAGCTTTAGAACCAGAAAAATCCACATCCTAAAGTAAGCTATCTTTATAGGGTATGTGTTAAGCAAACCACACAGCCTGTCCAGGCCTGTCTGCTCAGTAAAACGGGGATGTCATCACCATCTAGTTTGAGGCTGGTTTTGGGGCTCAAATAAGATGGCAGATAAAATTCATGTTTCCCAGCACTAAGTGTACATGCAGAATAGGCAGACAATAAATGTAAAAGTTGCTTCGTTCCATCCTGATGTCTCATTGGTTTTTAATTTTAAGGGAGGAGATCGGATGGAAGGAAAAGAAAGGTGAGAGAACACAATGGTAACTGATCGAACAAAGCTTTGGGAGAAATGAAGTAGGAGTGGAGTCTAATTAAAGGTAGACAGTCTTGAAGAAAGGAACACTGTTTCAGTTTAAAAGAAATTAGCAAACCTTTCTGCCTTACACTCACCAAAAGGGTCTGCAGAAAACCACCCTTTCCACAACAGAGTTCTATTCAGTCATGTTTTGGAGATGCTATGCATGTGTATGGATGGGGCGGGGGCGGGGGGAACTTAATAGCCATTATCTTTTCATGCTAAATTTTTATTTCAATGTTATGCAACTGCATAAGTATAAATATTTGTTCAATATACAACAATTATGACATCCATAGGGAATTTCTTAGAGAAAATAAGACTGCAAACACTTTATTGCACAGATCCTAACAAACTTTAAGCTGGTAAATCTACAGCTGGGAGTACTAGCGAGGAGCACACCGTACAATCACAGGAGACCAACCAAACAGAACACAGGTGGATTTCTACCATCTGACTGGAGAGGTTTACAACAACGAACAGTTACTACACGAATGCAATCTTAGGGACTCTGTAGCCATCCAAAATGCAAAAACATATTTGGCAAAAATGATAATACACTATACAAAATATACATTTTAAAATATCATTTGTAAACAAGCAGCTAGTTGTGCTTTAAAGAAAATTGGACAGTTAAAAAGCAAAGGCTGTAAACCATACATTACCTCCCCAACAGACCTGTCTAGATGTCTGGGTGCAGAAGGGCTGGGTTATGACAGCCGCCGAATGCAGGTACGAATTATAAATGTTGAGACCATTTTTCAAACCCATTTAAGTTCTTCCAAAATATTTGTTTCTTCTACAATTCACAACATAGTGATGGGAAACGGCTAAAATCTCACGGGAAAAAAAATCAGGGGCAAGGAAGAGAGTTTTTTCACCACTGTCAACTCATTTTACAATGAAGGACAACCAAGCAATTGGTTAAGTTATGCCTTTGTTTTTGGAGTGGAGTTTACAGCCTCACTAAATGATTTACAATCCACAGGGATGTAAAATGATGCTGTGCTTAGGTGAACAATTTTATAGCCTGAAGATACGAAGACATCCCTGCGGGGGAGGGGGATTGGGTGCTGGACTAGTATTTACTGGTGATTTTTTTCTCTTATAAAACAAAACAAAAATCCTGCTATGGATCCCAAGCATCTTATAAATACTTAGCTGTGTGTATTTTCTCTTAGTGCCTTAGTACTTATGTCAGCAAGTGCCGTCTCATAATACAAAACAAGCCACCAGGAAAACTGCAACAAAAAAACACGAAGACCCCCTCAGCACTAAAATGATTGGACAAATCCTACATATTCCATGGTATACAAAATTTAAATAAGGCTTAGCAAAAGTAAAAAGGACAGTCACATTCAAGCACCAAATAGCTCCAACAAGTCTTTTTGTTACAAAAATGCTGCTCTTTATTAATATAGTATTTTTTTTTTGCATACAAATAAAGAGACCATGTTATGAAATGTATGGAGCTACTTGATGCACCAGAAATGAATGTGAAACCCAGGAACTTGCTAAAAACAGCAAGCTTCATCTACAACATAAGGCCCCAGCTATGTATTAAAATGTATCTGATGTCCTGATTATTCCTTAAAATATATGCTATGATGCCAAAATCCATACCCCCTCCACTTTTCCTCAAAAAAGCAAAGTGAAAACCTCTTCCAATGCCTAGTGCTTATTAATCAACCTAAATACGAGCAGATTTGTGTGCGGCCAGTTATTTTCTTTTTTGCTCGACAGCAGGGCAGGCGCAGAACTACTACAAAATGTGTGCTTCTTGGACTAGCGACTCATAGCATAAAGGCCTGAGTTTATTTAAGAGCATGGGAAGGAGGGAAACCAGAGCAGAAATAAAAATCAACGTGTGTTTATAGCCCTCGATCTACCTACGGTGAAGAGTTGACACACACCCACAGACAAGGACGACTGGCCTCTGAGACAGTTGGGCCCAGGATCAAAATGGCCATTAGTGAAATGAAAATGGCTAGCTCCATCTGTTGTGACCATTCCTGATGGAGGAGCATTCCAGATGCAGTGATTCTAGTCATTCTTGCTTTAGATCTGGAAAGATAGGTAGCCAGATATAGTGCTATCAAAACTTCTGGTTAAAAATACACATACAAACTCACAATCTAGTGTATTTCAGGCTTGCTTTCACCATCAACTCTACTCAGAATGTTTTAGCTTAGAAAAAAATGTAGCCTTGCAAGAGTCTCTTCAACCACAGACCAAAACACGTGGGTGGATGTGTATATACACAAACAAGGGTGCATCTATATTTTAACAAGCACCCAGTTAGCCATTTTGCTTCATGACTGCATCGTGATCAATGGTAGAGCAAACATCCTACTAAAAAAACCCCAAAAGTTGTAGTAAATGATGCCATCAGCAAGGTATCGACTCTACATCCCAATCCAAACACATTGCTAGATATTTACAGAGAAAGTCTTTTCCCTCAACAACCCTCAACCTCAACCAGAAAGAATTTTTTTTTGTTGTTTTATTTTGTACAAACACTATCTGGTAACAGTTTACCGGTTCCAATTTGGGAAGGCATTTGGAAGAAGGTCCCCTCTTTCTCTGTCTCTTGTCTCCTAGCTTCTTCAGTGAGGCTCCAGGCTCTGCCGATAGCAGGGGGGTGGGGGGGGGTGGTGTCCCACAATGCTGGTTTCCAAGGTAGTCAAGACGCAGTTACACACGCAGGGTGGGTTTCCCCAGTACCGCCCGGGCCTACCCCATCACAAGGCCTTTTTGTGGGGGCTGCCGCGCAAACTCTCTTTCCCCCGCCTCTGTCGCAGCCCAGTGTCCCTCTCAGAAGGGAGAACGGCGGGGCGCTCAGTGCTTGGAGTGGGGGACGGCTTGACCGCCTCTCTGCCCACACTCTGGTTCCTGGTCTGAGCTGGCGGGGTGGGGGCTGGCTCTTTCCTTTTGGCTTCTTCCACGGCGGCGGTTACTGAGAGGGCCCTGTCCCAGTGACTGGTGCCCACCACCAGGCCAGGGTTTGGGTGCTGGGACTCCAGAGTGATAGCTGAGCTGCGGAAGGATGGCAAGGAGTCGCTCTTGGTCATTTGGGTTCTGCCGCCCTCACCAGGCAGGGCTTTCCGCTGGTCCCTGCTGCTCGAGGCTGGGGGTTCTGCTGCAGGCTCGCCGGCCTTGGCAGAGGAGGTGTCTCCGGAGGTGGTAGAAGTCTCTGGAACTGCTGGTCTGGCCTCGGGAAAGCCACAGGAGTAGCTCAGAGACTTCTCTGGGAGGGTGGCACAGCGGAGAGAGCCCTGCACTGTGGCTGAGGGTGACCGCTTCATGCCGCTGGGCTTGGTCGCCTCGCTCAGTGGCCTCTGGGGACTGGGCCCTTGCCCCTTGGCCTCCAGCCAGCCCTTCCCAGCGGCTGCTGCCGGCTTCTCCGCACCCTTGGGCCCAGCCTCACTGTGCACTGAGGTCAAGCCGGCACCCGGCTTCTCACCATCCGCAGGGGTGTAAAGTGCTTCAGTGCGTTTCTTCCCTTCAGACTTGCCGGCGTCGGTGCTGGTGGCCAGCGGACTCGGGCTCCTGTCTGTCTGTTTGCACAGAGGGGGACAATCTTTCACAGTGGATGGTGTGGGGGCCTTTGGAGACAGGTTTTGCCTTTCCCTGATGGTGGGAAGTTTCTGGTCCACTGACTCACTGGCCCCGAGGAGTCCTCGCATCTCCAGTGCCTCTGGGGGACACCCAGCACTGGTGGGTCTCAGCTTTGTGTCCCGAGGACCCCCTTCCATGGGCAGGGGGACTGAGCGCCCACTGGCTCCCTGGCCAGTCACTTCACGGGCTGTCTCCTGGGGACCTGGGAGGACAGGGAACTCCTCTGACGCACCCTTACCGCTCCCCACCCCTGCTCTGCCGAGGGTCTGAGCGCCAGGCTCTTTGCTCACTGAGGCCTCGGCGCCCGGCTTCTGGGAGGAGAGGGGCCAGTCTGGGAACTTAGACTTTGGAGGGCCCAGGCTGGGGTCAGACCTGGGCTTCTGGCTGCTGCTGTCACCGTGCAGAGCAGCAGGCCTGAGAGCGTCCTGGAAGCTGGAGTCTGTAGCACAGGGCTTGCTCCCCGGCAGAGAGGCGGCGGGGTGGCCGGGCAGGACGTAATGCTGACAAGCCGGGCCAGGGAGCTCTTTGGTGGGGGGTGGGGGCTGATAGCTACTGGTGAGGTGCTTTTGTGGGGGCTGTTCTTTCCATTCTAGTTCCCTGGGACCCAGCTGAGAGCTACTGGTGACATGCTTTTGTGGAGGTTGTTCTTTCCTTTCCAGTTCCTGGGGACCCGGCTGAGAACAACTGGTGAGGTGCCTTTGCAGAGGCTGTTCTTTCGTTTCTGGTTCCTTGGGACCCAGCTGAGAACTACTGGTGAGGTGCTTCTGCAAACACAGTTCTTTCCTTTCTGGTTCCTTGGGACCCACCTGAGAACTACTGGTGACATGCTTTTGTGGGGGCTGTTCTTTCCTTTCCGGTTCCTTGGGACCCACCTGAAAACTACTGGTGAGGTGCTTCTGCAAACACTGTTCTTTCCTTTCTGGTTCCTTGGGACCCACCTGAGAACTACTGGTGATGTGCTTTTGCAAACACTGTTCTTTCCTTTCTAGTTCCTTGGGACCTGGCTGAGAACTACTGGTGAGGTGCTTCTGCAAACACTGTTCTTTCCTTTCCGGTTCCTTGGGACCCAGCTGAGAGTTACTGGCGAGGTGCTTTTGTGGGGGCTGTTCTTTCCTTTCCGGTTCCTTGGGACCCACCTGAAAACTACTGGTGAGGTGCTTTTGCAGAGGCTGTTCTTTCATTTCTGGTTCCCTGGGACTCAGCTGAGAGCTACTGGTGACATGCTTTTGTGGAGGTTGTTCTTTGCTTTCCCGTTCCTTGAGACCTGGCTGAGAACTACTGGTGAGGTGCTTCTGCAAACACTGTTCTTTCCTTTCCGGTTCCTTGGGACCCAGCTGAGAGTTACTGGTGAGGTGCTTTTGTGGGGGCTGTTCTTTCCTTTCCGGTTCCTTGGGACCCACCTGAAAACTACTGGTGAGGTGCTTTTGCAGAGGCTGTTCTTTCATTTCTGGTTCCCTGGGACTCAGCTGAGAGCTACTGGTGACATGCTTTTGTGGAGGTTGTTCTTTGCTTTCCCGTTCCTTGAGACCCGGCTGAGAACTACTGGTGAGGTGCTTCTGCAAACACTGTTCTTTCCTTTCCGGTTCCTTGGGACCCAGCTGAGAGTTACTGGTGAGGTGCTTTTGTGGGGGCTGTTCTTTCCTTTCCGGTTCCTTGGGACCCACCTGAAAACTACTGGTGAGGTGCTTTTGCAGAGGCTGTTCTTTCATTTCTGGTTCCCTGGGACTCAGCTGAGAGCTACTGGTGACATGCTTTTGTGGAGGTTGTTCTTTGCTTTCCCGTTCCTTGAGACCCGGCTGAGAACTACTGGTGAGGTGCTTCTGCAAACACTGTTCTTTCCTTTCTGGTTCCTTGGGACCCAGCTGAGAACTACTGGTGAGGTGCTTTTGCATAGGCTGTTCTTTCATTTCTGGTTCCCTGGGACCCAGCTGAGACTTACTGGTGAGGTGCTTTTGCAGAGGCTGTTCTTTGCTTTCCGGTTCCTTGGGACCCAGCTGAGAACTACCGGTGAGGTGCTTTTGCAGAGGCTGTTCTTTCATTCCTGGTTCTCTGGGACTCAGCTGAGAGTTACTGGTGAGGTGATTTTGCAGAGGCTGTTCTTTGCTTTCTGGTTCCTTAGGACCCATCTGAGAACTACTGGTAAGGTGCTTTTGTGGGAGCTGTTCTTTCCTTTCCAGCTCTTTGGGACCTGGCTGAGAACTACTGGTGAGGTGCTTCTGCAAACGCTGTTCTTTCCATTCTAGTTCCTTGGGAACGGGCTGAGAACTACTGGTGACGTGCTTTTGCAGGGGCTGTTCTTTCCTTTCTGGTTCCTTGGGACCCAGCTGAGAACTACTGGTAAGGTGCTTTTGTGGGAGCTGTTCTTTCCTTTCCAGTTCTTTGGGACCTGGCTGAGAACTACTGGTAAGGTGCTTCTGCAAACACTGTTCTTTCCGTTCTAGTTCCTTGGGAATGGGCTGAGAACTACTGGCGATGTGCTTTTGCAGGGGCTGTTCTTTCCTTTCTGGTTCTTTGGGACCTGGCTGAGAACTACTGGTGAGGTGCTTCTGCAAACACAGTTCTTTCCTTTCTGGTTCCCTGGGACCCAGCTGAGAGTTACTGGTGAGGTGCTTTTGCAGGGGCTGTTCTTTCCTTTCTGGTTCTTTGGGACCCGGCTGAGAACTACTGGTGAGGTGCTTCTGCAAACACGGTTCTTTCCTTTCTGGTTCCTTGGGACCCGGCTGAGAGGTACTGGTGAGGTGCTTTTGCAGAGGCTGTTCTGTGCTTTCTGGTTCCTTGGGACCCAGCTGAGAACTACTGGTAAGGTGCTTTTGTGGGAGCTGTTCTTTCCTTTCCAGTTCCTTGGGACCCGGCTGAGAACTACTGGTGACGTGCTTTTGCAGGGGCTGTTCTTTCCTTTCTGGTTCCTTGGGACCGTCTTTCTGCACAGACTGGAAACCAGAAGGCCTGTCACTCTTCTCACTCTCCGGCCTGGGTGGCTCCAGACACCACCTGGTAGAAGTGGGTTCCATCCTGGATCCCAGGCCACTCTCTGCACCCAGATATCTCTCACAAGGAGCCCCTGCAGGGCGCAGAGAGTCCTCTCTGGCCAGCGGCCTCACCTCCTCTTGGCCGTCTCTGGGGTTTGCTCTCCCGCAAGGCCCGCACACTTTCTCCAAGGCCTGGGTCGAGACATCCGGGCGGGTCCTCCCCAGCACAGGGAGGGTTTGGGAGCTGTCGCTGGGTTTAGCAGCTTCTGGGGGACACAGCTCCTTGGAGGGCTCTTTGCGGAGGTCGGGCCTTGCGGCTGACCGCTCGCTCTTGACTATGGAAGGGCCCCTTTCAGACAACTCCCTCCCACTAGGCCTCTCCCTGGGGGGGACACTTTCAGGAGAGAGTGGGCTGCGGGATCGAGATGCGTTGGCCCCTTGGAGGTTCTGCCCCGGGAAGGGAAGGAGTTTAACGTCGGGGCTGCGGTCTTGGTGCTGGCTGGGGTGGCCCTCTCCCCGCTGGGGATGGCTCTCCATGATGGTCACTGGGGCGCGGGCTGCCTGGGAGACCTTCTTGTCCAGCTTCAGCTCTGGATCAGGCGGGGCAGCCACCGGTGAACTCTGCAGACCCCGGCTGGACGGCGGGAACCGAGGCTCGAGCAGGTAGGCTTTGTTCACCTTGAAGCCGGCGGGGGAGGGCTCTCTCTGACCCGCAGGGTCAGTCTTTCTCCCTGTGCTGCTGGGGAGAGCCAGGGGCATGGGGGACCCCGCATCACTGCCCGGGCTGGGGCTCTGGGCAGGCTCCGGGGAAGGCAGCTCTGTCTTGGAGGCCTGCGGTCCCGACAAGAGAGCAATGTCCAAGGTGCCTTCAATGGGCTTCAGGCATGACACAGACCTCCCTTCCAGCTTATACTCGGAGGGGCTTTTCCGGGCAGGCGACTCCGGCGCAGCCAAGCCCGGCTTCTCCACTCCACTGTCCACCCGGCCAGAAAGGGCCTTGAGAGGGACGAAGGCGACGGCGCTGAGCTGAGCCGCGTGGGCGCTGCCGATGAACGGCGTGCGGCCCTCGGGGGCTGGCGGGGTCTCCTGCTGCCCTCCCACGGTCCGGCCCAGGCTCCCGGGCAGGCCCTCCTGGACACCGGCCGTCACCTTGGGCTTGAGCACAGAGCAGGGGCTCTCGTCTTTGTCTTCGAGGGACATCTTCTTCCGGAGGTAATCGATGTTGGCCAACTTGCTGTCTAACTTCTCACACCGCAGACCCTCCTTGGCCTGGGGGGCCTTCTCCGCGGTGTCCCCCTTCCCAGAGGTGGACCTGTGGGGGGCGTGACAGAGGCCGTCTGGGAGGGTGCTGTGAGTCGAGGCTCGTTTGAGGTCACAGGTGCCCTGGCCGTGGTCCCCAGCCGCCGGCGCGCCCTCAGAGGCGACACCCTCGCTGGCCCGCACGCCGGCCTGCTTGTGGAGGGCGTCTTTCAAAAGGCTGCATAGGGGCTGCGCCTCCTGCCCGGCTGCTTTGCTCTCAAAATGATTTGACCTCTCTGAAGCTTTCGGATAGATTTTCTTCTCTCTCTCTTCGAGCCTAAAAGCGCAGAGGTTTTCCAAGTCACTGCCGAGTCCGTGGGGCTTCGGGCGGGATTCCTGTTTTTCCGAGAGCCCTTCAGGTTTCTTCACCACCACCTTGGCCTTCAGCTTCTCTCGGTCTAGCTCATCCACAGACTCCTGGCGGCCCAGCTTCCGGGACACGGGGCGTTTCAGGCAGCCTTGCTCCACGGGCCTGGCCCGGCTGAGGGCAGGCGCATCGCACACGTTCTCCTCCAGGCTCTGCAAGGTCACCTCCCGCTGTTGCTGCTCCCGCGGCACCTCCTCCTGGGTGACCTCCAGGCTATGCTTGCGGGAGCACAGGTGCTTCTTGTCGCCTCCATAGGAGGGAGAGAGCTTCTCCTCCGACTGCACGCGCTTGAGCAGTGGGGACCGAGGGGGTTCCGCACTCTTGGGCCTCACGACGTGCCTGACGATGGTGGGTGGGGAGTGCATTTTGCTGGGAAAGGCTTGGGCCATCTTGGAATTGCCAAGTGAGTGCCCCAGCAGAGGGGATGGGGACCGCTGCGGGGAGGTGGGCTGTGGGGTCGGAGAGGGTGTCCGGGCCAGTGGAGACAGGGGGATGCTGCCGGCTGATTTCCGCCTTCCTGATCGGTAGCGCTGCCCGCTGAGTTTGGGGGCCAGACCATGGAGCGTGCTGGGCCGGATGTGTCCAGACCCCGCCGGGGAGTTGGGGGCACTGGAGCTTGGGGAGCTGCTCTGGGAGGAGTTAGTACCTGTGGGTGGGAAACGGGACACTGTGAGCAAGAACCACCTTCCCCTTTCCTTCCAGGCTTTCAGACCCTGGCTGTTTTAGATAAGGGCAGCCAATTGTCTCAGCATCTCAGTCTAGTGAATAAGGACTTTTCAGATAAACCTCCCCAAAGGTCAATCCAGTACTTCCTGTCTTTTCTAAGGGACCGAATTGCTGTATCTTCTGACCTTCCTGTCAATCCTGTTCTCTTGTCAATTACATCCCCACCTTCTCTAAGCTGGAATAAGCTTGTCTTCCAGGATCTCTGCTGGTGACCCCTCAACTCTTGCTAGGAGAGGAGGTTCACTCACCGGATGGGAAGTCGGGGGTGGAACGGTAGCTGGGTGTAGGGGATCGGGGAGACAAGCTGTGAGTGGGGGACCCTGGGAGGCTCTCCCCTGATGACAGGGATCGGTTCAAGCAGGAGAAACTTCGGCTGGTGTGGAGTAAAGGAGAAGGCTGCTTGGCTAGTTTTTTGAAAAGGGATCTCCTCCTAGAGTGAAAACAGGAGAAAACGGATCAGATTCTACATTCAAAACCACTCCCCCTCCCCCAAAGCACCAGTGCACTGATTCAGTATACCCAGAGATGGTGACATGATCGCAGGTCCTCTCAAAGAGAAGGATTCCACTTTTACCTTCAAAACTTTCCCATGACTCAGAAAGGACGAGGCTTGGAGAATACACAATGGAAACCCTCTTAACTTCAAGCACTTTAAGAAAAGTTGTGAAAAATAGGAAAAATATATCTGGTGACTCAAAATCCACCTGCAGTGCAGGAGACCCAGGGTCAGGAAGATCCCGAGAAGAAAATGGCAACCCACTCCAGTCTTCTTGCCTGGAAAATTTCAGGCACAGAGGAGCCTTGCAGGCTACAGTCCATGGGGATGCAAAGAGCTGGACATGACTGAGTGACTAAGGATAAATGCATATTCATTTATTTGTATGTCAGGTTTTTGAGGACACTGTTTTTTGCCTAAAAGCTTCCAAGTATATAGCTCCAACACACTGACACAATTAAATTAAGAGACAATACAAAGTAAATCCCTGGAAGAAAAACTGTCATTTGGAATATTGAATTCTTTAATGGTGATCTACTGGATAGAGGCTTTCATCTCTGAGGGGCTGTTTGCTGTGCTTATCCCATCGTGAATTCCTGAATATTCCTATGAACACTGGAGGCTGTACATTTACACAGAAAAACTGAGGGAGGTGAACTGAAGCTTTATTATGTCAGCAGGGCAGCAGACACCACGCTTCAGCAGAGGGCAAATGCGTAGTGAGTGCCAACAAGCACGTCTTAAAGTTAAAAGCACAGCTTCAGGTGGCTTGAAAAGCAGGTGGCTGTATAGGGTTCCTTCACCTCCAGGGGCTGAATCACATATTTTCCACTCTACTATCCCTTGAAGCAGTGTGTTCTATATGACCCAACACACACTCAAAATATAAAGCTCACATTAAAAAAAAAAAATATATATATATATATAAAGCTCACATTAAAAAAAAAAGAAGGATATCAATGTATGTGTGTGTGTGTGTGTATGTGTACTTTTAATCACAGTAATAAATGTACCTGGGTCAAAAAGTTAAATAGTTTTATAAGCTTATAATGAAAAATAGCTCTATTCTGCCTTTTCCCCAACTCCCAGAGAAACTCTTTCTATGCTTTTAGCTGTATGCAAATTGCCAAGTAATGTGCTTATGTTGTTTTTTCAGTTTTTCAGTTCTAGAAATTATCTGTTGATTTCCCACCACAGAAGATGAAAATTTAGCCCTTATAACAACATATTCCCCCTTATAACCAAACACACTTCCTCCCAATTGAGATACACCAAATTTTTTGGTTAGGAAAAAAAGGGTGACACTTTATTTTACACAATAAACACTGTTCATAGTTTGGCCATGAAAAGCATAATTCTATTTTCCTCTCTTGTACAAATTTGTCTTTCCTGGAGTTAATAATCATTGCTTTTTTCATTTGCATATTTTTCTTTTCTAGCATTAAAATCCTTATAATGTGATCCAACACACCAAATTCAAGTGGGTAGACCCAAGATGCTGTTGCATCATGCAGGGAGCACATCTAGACAATTGTTTGGAAGAAACATCCCCACCACACACACACACACACACACACACACACACACACACACAGACACACCCCTCACCAGTGTCTGCACAGGGGACTAAGTGATACTAATGGTGCCTTTCACAGTGCAAATGTGTAACAGACTTTCAGGCAGTAAAACAAAGTCTTTTTATTTCTAGGCTTATTTGGATGCTTTGAAGATCTAGTTATCTTAGAATATCTGGCATTCAAAAGTAGCAACTACATGTTTTTGTATTATTTATTATTACTATTGTTTAGTTGCTAAGTCATGTCTGACTCTTTCCCGACTCTATGGACTGTAGCCCGCCAGGTTCCTCTGTTCATGGGATTCTCCAGGCAATCCAACTGGAGTGGGTGGCCCTGCCCTCCTCCAGGGGATCTTCCCAACCCAGGGATCAAACCCGCATCTCCTGCATTGCAGGTAGATTCTTTACCACTGAGCTACCAAGGCTTCCCTGGTGTTTTTAGATGGACATTATTAAATATAGGTTTAATGCTAAAAGCTACCTTAAAAAGTTTTAGTTCCACAAGTCCAACTGAAATGAAGTCTGGAAACTTAAGAAAAAGCAGAGCTTTTCATGGTTCTCACACATGAGAAAAAGTAATCTAAATTCTACAGTGTAACAACATAAATCTTTTCATTATGAAACATAATGATGTTATGAATGAATACAAACTCTGGTGTATAAATACATTTGAACCACAGGGCAACATTTCTTGCAGAGAAATAGATCTTCCTCACATGCAAGCGTTTAAATTAAGTGAGGAGTAACTTTCCTTCAGTGTGGGAACACACCAAACCCTTGAGGAGGACAGCTCTAACTCACCTTTCTAGACTTTCCTTCTTCTTAGATTTCTTGCTCCGCCTCACCATCCGGCTCTTATAGCTGTTTCTCCTGGCTGGCCCCGTTTTGATTGATGTGTTTTCAAATGGGGTGGTTGTGATTGACACCTTATTTCCACTCTATAAAAAAAAAATGAAGTGGTATTAAAGGGAAATGCTGTGATGAAACAAGACCAGAAAAGATATAGGAGATCCAAAGACAAATAAACATCCAAAAGGACAGACATGACCAAGTGTCAATGACCCTTCAGGTAGTGAAGTCCTGATAAACTGGGTGGGAAAAAAAAAAAGTGAGGTTTCCTTAAGGTGGTGGGATGTGGATTCCACGGTCATTGTTGTGCTCAGCTGCATCCAACTCCTCGCAACCCCATGAACTGCTGCTCTCCAGGTTCCTCTGTCCATGGAACTTTCCAGGCAAGAACACTGAAGTGGGTTGCAATTTCCTACTCCAGGAGTTCTTCCTGACCTAGGGACTGAACCTGCATCTCTTGTGTTTCCTGCATTGGCAGGTGGATTCTTTACCACTGAGCCACCTGGGAAGCCCAGCAGAGCTGAGTTTAAATCTGAGCCTGTGACCTGAGCACTTGTTTTCCTCTGGACCGTCTTGCAGCGGAATCACACCTGTCTCCCAGGGCTCATCTGAGGATCAAGGGGATAGAGTGTGTAAAGCCGTTAGCACCCAGAGTGGCACATGGAAAGGGCTCTATAAATAACAGTTACGCTCATGCATATGTATTAAGAGTAAACGTGCCCAGACACTTGCTCCTGGTTGATTTATTTTTCTTCTCTCTCCTTTTTTTTTTCCTTTGACCTAGAAATCATAAAGCAGCACAACTGAATGAGACTTTTTTCTTTAATTATTTTTAAAGTTTTCTTTTCTACCACCAGAAAACCTGTCAGCCCAGCAGAGCTGGAAAGTTTATGCCAGCAGGTGTAAGACAGCCTCTGCTTTGTCAAGTCAGGAGTGGTAAGGTCATTCCTGGGGCTTTCTGAGCCCCTCGACTTGAACCTGGGACTGGGGCTTGCTGGACAGGCCCAAGGGATGGATTTGAGATTTGAGAGCAGGGTCAGAGGCCAGGGTGAGGAGTGCCCTGGACAGGCGGGCAGAACCCTCCCCCTTCACTTCAGTCTCAATGATCTCTTCTTGAACTTCTTAATAACCAAGGGAGAATCATATCCTTTCAAAGTCACAGATGGTCCTGATTACCTTAAAAAGACAAGAAGTATACACAGAAGGGCCTTTTAAAAGGCCTATGCCTGGAAGATGCCTAGCAACTCAGATCTAAGTGATGTTAAGAGACGGTGAGTTGAGTACAGTCAGGCAGGGGACTGAAAAAACAGACTGTTCAAATATCAACATCCACTTCTCCACCCAACTTGGAAAGTAATACATGCCATTATTAGAAGAAAACAATAATGTATATTTATATTTTAAAAAATCATTGAGAAGCCTACCACTCAGCTAATGCTGGTAATATTTCTGTATATTTCTTGCTGGTCTTCTATTACACATGTATAAATTATGCATATACATATAGACATATTTTATAAGTAATTTTAATTAATTTAATAGTTTTTTTTCACCTCACATTCCATAACTTTGAAAAACTTGCACTTTATCACTGAATATTCCTTCACATAATTTTTACTGGCTATTTAAAAATATTCCATGAGATAGATAAATCACAATTTAACGATTTCCTTATAGCTTTTATTTCTATTTTCCAATTCTTGTAAAAGTTGAAATAAGTATCTTTATCTATAAATTAGTGTCCTAATCTCTGACATTTTCCTTAGATTATCTAACTAGACTCAATACAGTGAACTGTAGGGACTAGTTGAACTTTTTAAAGACTGTTGGTACACATTGATGCACTAATTTCCAGAAAGTTCATGTCAATTTAAACTCTTACCAGCAGCACATGAGTACCCATCTTAGCACACACCGGTCAGAATTGAATACTAATATGAAATAAATTACCAATTTTATAGGAAAAAGTTACATCAAGTTTTAATCTTTGTTCTTTGGGTATTAACAAAGCTGGATTTCGTCTCATTTATTTTTCATTGTTTTTATTTCTTTAGATAATGATTTGTTCATGTCTTACATCCAATTTTGTATCTAAAAATCAATAATCAACTGAAAATTAATGATTTTTGGGCTCTTTATATATTTAAGAACATATAATCCCATACTTAGTGCCATGACTATAAAAAAAAAATATTTTAGGGAAATGGGATTTGAATTTGAACAAGGGAAACAAATGTTTTTCATTCTGAAAAAATAAATTTACTAGTCTTATATTTATATGCAGATGCCAAAACTTTCAAAGTAAACCTTTATCTGGTAGTAGAGACTGGCATTCAGTTTATTTTTTAAACTGAAAACTCCACTTTTAAGTATGAAAGGGCTACCAAAATTTGTTTGGAATGGGGTTTGTTCTTTACAATTTGACTGAGACCAGCCTAAAGTTTTGGTTTTTCCTGTATGCCTTAGGGGAAGGAAAGCGGCCGCAAACATGATGGGGTTCATCCGTCTTTGGGATTCTTTCCATCCTTTACTAAATCATATGGGAGAGGACACAGAATCCCAGCGACCCCTGGGGCTGCTGGAGCCCATGAGCTGTCTAAGCCTGAACCACTGCTATCCCTTCTAATACAGTTCAATTTTAAAAATAGAAAAATATCATATATATTGCATGAGATGAATATAAGAAAATGCTTAACATTTTTCATTAGAAAAGTTATGGCTGGAGTGTCATTAAGCTTTGTACAAATGTCCCTTTCTGCAAGTAGCACTGACATATATAGACTATCACGTGTAAAATACTTAGGGGCAAGTTGCTAAAGACACAGGAAGCCCAGCCTGGCACCCTGTGATGTGATAACCTAAAGAGGTGGGGTGGGGGGAGGGGAGGGAGGCTCAGGAGGGAACGCATACATGTGTGATTATTCACATTGTTGTACGGCAGAAACCAATACAAAACTGTAAAGCAATTTTCCACCAATTAATATATAAATAAAATTTTTAAAAGTTAAAAGAAAAAACTCAAAAAAGACAAACCTAGTTTTTTGTTTGTTTCTACAGTGGGCTGTTTCAGGGGACAGTTCACTTGACTTATGGAAATACACAAAGAGATAACCTCCCCAAGAGGAAATACAGACAGAAAAAAATGCAGAGTGCAAACATTTGGCTGAAAAAGTTAATGATGACAAAAATGGTAAGTAAATGACTGAAAAATAATTTTATGGGGAATAGGTGAGAACTGTGAAGCCTGCCACCTGGTGGATCCATCAGCTATAGCAAGTGCTGCCAGAACTGGCAATTTGTTTTACTGGGTCCTTTGACCTCAACAAATTCTTTTGAAGAAGGAACAATCTCTTATTAGAGAGATTCTGTGGCACTATTTCAAAAAACAACAACAATAAAATGGGGCCGGAAGACTGTCAAATGTTCTATTAAGTTAAGCATTACTTTAAACTGCTTGTGTGATTAGTGCATGGTGGGGAGGAAATTATTTTAAGCTGGCTGAACTGAATACAAAAGCAGAGGTCAGGCTACCCAGCCTCTGCTCAGTCTGACTCCACATTAGTTTATCATGTGGCCGTGGGTATCTCCCTGAGCTACACTGCTTTCACATTTCTTCCTCTGCAAAATACCCAAGGGGAGTGCATTCTTCCCATACCTGTGTCCTCGCCCCATTCACACTCTCCACCATCCAGCCCTAGTCACCTTGCATACTGCATCCCAGAAGCCATGAACTCAGGCTCCGGCCACACTGGTTTACTCAGGCACCTCAAGTACTTTGAACTTCCTTTTCTTGTGGTTTAAAGCATCATTTTATTGTGCCTAGACCATCCCACACTCCTTCCCTTACACTAACATCCACCCACCCTTCACAGCCCTGCACAGAGAACCCCCAGCTCTCCGCCTGTCCACTGTGGTGGAAAGCTCTCTCTCCTTCAGCACTTGGGCCCTATTTACAGACTATTCCTTTGGCTTGACACTCTGATTACAGCCTAGCACCGCCACTGTTTCTCCTGCGAACACTGGGCTGTAAGTTTCTGGCCATCAGACCTCATGGCCGGAGCATGGGGGTATGCTAGTTGAAAGCTCAGGCTCTGGAGCAGCACTGCTGGTATGCAAATCTTCTGCTATGTCCTAGCACAGAACCTTGGCTGCTTTGCTAACTTCTCCTTGCTTTAATTTCTTCATCTGTAAAATGGGGACATTTCTGTGCATAGCACCTGTGCACAGGCTGTGAAGATGACCTGAGTTTATTCATGTAAAGTGCTCCTGACTACCTACTATTCACATGTGCCATCTGCTGTGTGACCCTTCTGTACCTTGCACAACTTTGCACATTCTGGGGACCCAGTTAATATGTAAGAATGGTAATAATGATGCCCTTTTAGCCCCCATTTTAGTATCCAAAGGTTCCCCAGAGTTTAGGGAAAAGAAATACTGAGGCAGTGGCTAGGGTTATTTTAGCACTTCTCCTATGACTGGGCATTTACACTAATGCTGTCCTAAGAAAGCAACCTGGCTGAACAGGGGGTTTCCTGCATTTGAGAGGCTCCACTAGGCAGGCAGTCATGTGAGCAGGGGTACGACTGGGTCCACGTGGTCTCCACACTCCACCACAGTGGGGAGAGAGAGAGTTCGGTGCTGGGGAAAGTTCTTTTAGGAAGCTACTTGTAATCTGGATGGAGGTGATTAACTCCCCATGGCAGGAGAGGTTTGAGGCAACACTGAGGAAGCACATTTTCAGGGGTTCAAAGCCGATGGGGAACTGAACCGAGTAACTATGACTTTGCTTCTCTGTGCACGTAAGTTAGTGCTTTCACAGCAGGCTCACTGTGAAGTTGTGAGAGTTAGTGAGACCAAAAGTGAAGCCATGACACAGGGAATATGCTTAATGTGTTCACAATCCAAAGATAAATAAGTATTGCACACAGTGTTAGTCGCTTAGTTGTGTCTCTTTGTGATCCCATGGACTACAGCCCACCAGGCTCCTCTGTCTATGGAATTCTCCAGGCAAGAATACTGGGGTGGGTTGCCTTTCCCTTCTCCAGGGGATCTTTGCCACCCAGGGATTGACCTGGGGTCTCCTGCCCTGCAGACTGGATTCTTTACTATCCAAACCATCAGGGAAGCCCAGTATCGTACATGGATTTTTAAAAATATATACAGCCCTATGTGATGGCTCTTCCACCTTTTTCTAAGGATACCATGAGATTTTGTGAAGTAGTTTGCAAGTGTAAAACGTCGTACAGACAGCATGTGAGAATACCAGAATATAGCTACTACCCTGATGGTCTGCCGCTGATGGCACATGGGCGTCCAGGACTGGTACCAGTCACTTCATCCTCTGTCCAAGAATCACTATTCACACTTAGGAGACAGACGCATGATAACGCAGTTCCTTGGGAAGATAATTAAATCCCCTGTATCCACTCTGTTTCCTTACATGGGTTGCTCTTTTGAGAACTTCCTTTATGAGCCAGAGGCAGGATCCTCTGCTTAGATGTGAGACAGCACGCCATGGTCCAGGAAGATGCCAAAGCTCTCCATTACAGCATGTTCATGGTCTTTCATGAACACAGGTCAACCAGATGCAGGAATGCAGGCACTCCGTAAGCAGATGAGGACAAAATGTTATAAATGGGATTGACTGACTTTTCAGAGACCTTGCCAGAGACGATCAGGAGAAACATACATTCAAATTTCACAGAAGTAGGAAGAGACGTTTTAAAATCCAGAATCATATGAAAATGTTTTATGAAATAAATTATGAAAGTGATCAAATACGTCTCAGCAAAATAAACAGAAGGCATATTTCCTAAAGATATGTATATTTCAGCTTATTATTTCTTATTCTGATTTTATGAGCAAATGTAAGAAATAATATAAAGATATACTGTGCCAGGACCTAAGATGTATGTAGCATAATACTGCTACAAAGAACGGAAGAGGTCAAACCTACTACCATTTAAAATCCATTTGACCATCTTTGAACCGCTGATGCCAAAACTTGGAAGACTTCTAGTCAGGTGAGTGACAACGAAAAGAAACTCACATATAAAACATAGCTTTATTATCTAAACAAAAGGGAGGTCCTAGAAAAGCTCAAGGAGCACTTGAGAGAGAGAAGTACCTCTCTGCCCACCTTTGTAGGCCCTACACCACTGGAAAGATATACAGGCTGGAATAGATAGAGCCTGGGCCCTTATCCACAAAGGGCTGATGTGAGCCAGCAATGGGGTATCCCTGGACCACTGGATCAGGTACTATGAGAAAAGAGGCTGGTCAGACTCATAAATCTTTGATCTCTTCTTGAATTTTGTCTTGGGAAGTCTGAGGTCATTTCAGGGGACTCTCACAGGCAAGGACTCTCAAAGTCCACAATCCTGCTCTGCCTCCCATTTTGGGGGCACTTACTAGGAGACAATTGTTCCATGGCAGTTGGACAAGTAATATTATCAGAAACAGATGGTGAATGAAATGAAAAAAAACTCAAGTCTTACCCATGTAGGTGCCAGAAATGCTACCGGTTTTGAAATGGCAACCCGCTCCAGAATTCTTGCCTGAAAAACCCCATGGCTGGAGGAGCCTGGTGGGCTATAGTCCAAAGGGTTGCAAAGAGTCGGACACGACTGGGTGACTAAGCACACGTGCACTCCTCAGGAGGCATACTGCAACGTGCAGAGACCCCAGCCACCTCAGGGTTTTGCTCCCAGACGGAACAGCGTGTACATGAAGGCATAACACAAGTGGCGGTATGGTGCCTGGCTCCTCCATGGTGACTTCTGGATAGCAGGCGAGGGAGAACCCGACTATTCACATTGTCTGAGTACCCGGCTGCAAACCAGGCAGTGTGTGAACACGGGGGGGGGGGGGGGGGGGCGTGGGGAGCTTTAATAGCAGCTCCATGTCTCTCCTGCAGGGCTGCCGTCAGACCTGCTGTGTTTTCGGCACGGGCACGGCTGGCTTCCCATACTGCCTATGGCTCTGCAACGTCCTCTCAATATTCATCCTACTCCTCCAGTGAGCAGTACTATGCATTTGTGAGAAAGTTGACTAGAGTTAAGGGGACCACCCGTAGATACGGAGGATAGCAAAGACAGTCACCTACTCCCATGGGGCCTGAAGTCAAGACCAAAATTTCATTAATGCTGTGGACTGATCAATGGCAATAACTTCCCTACAATCTGCTACTTCACAACGGACCTTTGAATGTACATACTATTACTACTCTCGGAATCTGCGCCAGACCCTGAATCTTTTGAAGAATACACTTGTGTTGGCTGGGGGATGACAAAAAGAAGGATGAAAGTCATTTATCAAAGGCTTACTTACTTATCAAAGGCTTTGTACACCCACCTACCTGCACTAATTCCAAATTCCCAAGTTTCTTTCAAGTTTCAGTTCAGTGTAACTTCTCTGTGATGACTTCCTATTCACAGAATATTCTCTGCAAAAGTATGGCATTTCTTCCCCCTGCTATGGCCCTGGCTAATCAGGTTGAACTTCATCTGCCTGCATACATCTCCTATATCTCTCACAGTCCTCAAGGTGAGAACTGTATCTTAATTTCCAATGTCTACCGTGTCTAGACATGTTACCAGTGTCTACCATGGCACCTGCCTAGCAAGTGCTCTAGAAACAATCTGAGTGGATGTTGTTTAAATGACACACATGTGTTTACGTTTTGTTTCTCAATAGGCTGCAGGCTATCTGAGGCGATGGCTCACACCTCTCTGAAAGCCCCTAGTAATCCCTCCCTGTGTTCACACACTGAGAGGTCATCTATAAATCTGCTGACATGTAAAATGACCCTACAATTAATGATTGTAATTTTTTTAAAATCACAGATAGGATTTTTTCCTTGAAAAAACTTAAAACTCAAGACTCAGATTCATCTTTGTTTTCACCAGATCCATATTTGGAGCTATAACTTTATATTCTTTAGTTAGCAGTGGCAAAGCAAACTGCCCAACAGAAAGAAGAGAATGAGTGTAGACCATCTCTCTTCATCACACTCATGCTCTTTGTGATCTTCCTACTCCATTGGCTTGAATCAGCTTAATTCCAAGTAGGGACTGATCTACATTGAGATTTATTTGTACAGGAGGGAAAGGTCTAATGATTGCTAGAATCCCTTCTTCCATTACCACCTATTTCTATCATTTATAGTGTATATTATATATTCGCAGCTCTAGCTTCCAAAGAAACCCAACTCTCGAATCAAGCTTCAGGTCTGACCTCACAGTTTAATACCACTGTCTTCTGCCATAATAGAATAAAATGTACTGAAAGTTGCTAAAGAAAATCGCACCAAGGATGGATGATTTCCAAACAGATTTTACTAAGTGTGATACATCAAACAAAGAGAACGCTATTTGTAATTCAGGATAAGAAGCAAAATTAAATTAGGAAGTGACTGTGCAGATACATGGAAGTGGATTTCATGATATAAAACCAAAAAAATTCATGTTGTTCTTGCCTTTACCTTAAACAGACCAACGAATGTTTTCTCAGCAAAGAGAATGAGTGTGTATGAATAGCCCATATAGAAGAACACTAGAACTTGAGTAAAGAACTTTTGGTGCTAGTTCTTTCTGGCTACCTACTTCATCTAGATGGCCCTGACATCAAAAAGACAGTACCTTTAGCAGGAGCTCTATAACTTCTGTGTGGACAAGTCCATGCACTGGTTCTCCATTGATATGCGTGATCAGATCCCCAGCCTTCAGTCCTGCCTGGCAAGCTGGACTTCCTTCTTCTACATTCTAAAATTCAATAGCAGGAGATATATTAGTGAGCAAACAAGTGACAATCCTGACACCTACTGTTCTTTTGCAGCACAATATTCTGAGTTCATCAACAAATGATTCTGTGATTCTAAGAGGAAACCAGTAAAATATGGTTCACTATTTTTGTTCTGCCATCCTCCTAAAATAGGGTAATTCCTATGGTTCCTTAAGCAATATTTCAGGTGACCTAAGAAAGTATTTTAGAAAAGAAGAAGGCCAGGTGGAAAAAAAACTAAGAAAAGAAAGATAAAAATAGGATTATTTTGTACTATTTCTACAAACTTGGTATAAAGAGTGGATAATCAGATTTGAAGACTAACAAAATTATTAAAAAGAATTAACTTTTGCTAAATTCAGTCCTACCACACAGATAAAGGGCAAGAGTATGATGCAGGCCCCAAAGGCCAGCTTAACAGGAAACTCATTTGCTGTTAACTATGCCTCAGCTGATGTATTCATTCTCTAGTTTGCTGGGAATGAAAACTGGCCAGAAAGACAGACTTACCCAAACGATGTGATGCACTGTGTAAATGTCGCTGTCCCCCACATACACCCGGATAGCTCGAATGGTGAAACCATAGTTCTTCCCTAAACTGTGGATCACAATGGGCTGGTGCGGACTGGCAGAAGCTCCTGAAGAATCTCGGCTGGGAGATGAATCCCTTGAGGAAGAAGGGTCCGAGGACAGGGAATGGGGAGACATCGGACTTCCCAGTGGAGAAACAGCAAACATATCTGCAACAAAGAAGCCAGTCATCAAAGCTTTACCAACTGAGCCACCAGGGAAGCCACATTATTGAACGATTACTGGCTGAATAATCTGAATCAGGAAAACACTGTAATGTTAACTTTCCGATAAAAGAGTCATTCCTTATTACTGTGATTAGGACTGACTCTCTTCATGTATTACCTGTGGTTCTAGCAAGGTTTCTGAGAGGATAATGCAGGTGGATAGAGAAATTTTAAGAAAAACTCACTTCATATTCTTCAACACCATTTCTATCTTGTTTTCCTTGTTTTGTGAACAGACACACTTTTTATTTATAGTTCTTATCACTGTTTCATCTATGTGAATCTAAACAAATCCTAACTGGTCATATGAAATTGTGCACGCACACCTGTCTGTGTGCTGTGCATGAAAAAGAATCATCTGCAAAACGATGCTGTGGTTTAAATATGAGCTCAGCAAGGGCCAGGCTACAAAAGGCCAGTGCTATTGAAGACTCCCAGGGTGCAGTGAGTAACACTGTGGCCACAGCAAGCTGAAAGTATCCAGACTATCTTCTGTCGTAATTCTTGGGATGTGTGTGTGCTCAGTCGTGTCCGACTGGTTCCGACCCCATGAACTGCAGTCTGCCACGCTCCTCTGTCCATGGGATTATCCAGGCAAGAATCTTACATCTGTCCAAAGGAGAACAATTAGCTAAATGTATCACTGTCCAGGCTCCTTCACTGACTTCATGTGGCATCTTGACACTTTTGTCCTGGCTACCCTCTGTCTCATCCAAAGGCCAGGTGAACAGATCCACACTGATGGGCAGGGAACTTCAAAACATGCAAAGGTAGGAAGAAGACAGAGTGGACACACAGATCCAAACTGCTAAGAAAGCCATGCCCCTGACTCTTTTCCTCAATACAGCTTTCCTTATCTCCCCACACAATAACTGACCCGTGTTCACCACGATGTGGGCTTTCTTACCAGCTCTCAAAGTGGACTGGACCACATTCCACTTACCGACCACATTGGAGCCATTCCCTTCTGGTTGTGAATAGTCATTCAGACTAGGTTGCTTGTTTTAAGGTGCTATAAGGACATCTCCCAGAAAACAGAACATGCTACAGTGAGCACTACCCCCTCAATGAACATTTCTTTCTGCACAAATTTGAAATTTCAAAAATGTAAACAATCCCTTTTATACATGGTTTGTATTCTTCCAACTGCAAGCCATCTGCAATGTAATTTGACTGCCACTTCCATTCTTTTACTGTCAGCTGAGTGATAAGTCACAACCACCAGGGTGTGTATTTTCATCTCAGCCAGTGAAATTACACCAGACTTTGTGATCAGTAGAGGCAAAACTAGGTTGTGGAAAAATGCTGCAATTCAACAAAATCATAATTAAGCCCAGTTTTTTAAATATAGGGAAGAAAATGACTGGGCTACCAGTAGGAGGAAGCATAACCCAACAGACAAGGCTGGTAAAACTTGCAATTTCAGTGCTGTCTGTGATACTCTCTGCATCCCCAGAAATGAAAAACGTATATTCTCTGTATTGATTTCCTCATTAATTAGATGAGAAAAACTATACTTAGCTTTCTGACACAGATGCTGTAAACAGCTCTGTAAAGGATATAAATGATGCATGGTCTAGGGAAGAAAAATTATTCAGAAGAGGGAAATTTATCACTTAACTTGGGGAGAGGAGAAAAGAAAAAGAAAGAAAACAAAAGAAATAAGCCTTTGTGGGAAGGGATCCTGCCCCATCTCCTGCTGCCGAAAGAAGTGTGAAGGAATAGGTCATGTTTGTCTTCTGGGAGCCCTGGAGGCCCTCCAGGGGGGTCACTTAGGAGGGCTGTGCCCGGGCACCACCCATTACTGGGTCAAGCATCGCAGCCAGCATGCCACACTGGGGATGGGGGGGGGCGCACATGCACAAGTCACACAATTTCATGCGAGTCGATGTCTCTCTACCTCCTGGGATCATGAGGGACAGAGCACTGGCAGAAAGGGACTTTGTGACTTTCCCCGAGATTTTCTTTTTCTCTGTGCTTTCTAATCGCTGCCGAGCCATGTGAGAAGCGGGTTCACTGGAGGGCTTTGAGGCATTATCTGTACTGTCCACACACTCGCTTCGTCCATTTATCTGATCCAAGTGCTCTGAAAAACTGCCAACTGCACAAAGAAGAAGGGATAAACATTTCAGGAGAATTTGGGATAGGAGAGCTGGGGAGGAGGGAGGAGATAGAGAGAAGGATAAACACTGGGAAACAGAGGCCCGTGTGGTGCATGAGTCCATGTGGTGTCAGGCAAACATGGGAATCACGCAACTGGTTCGAGAAAGGTGAGTCGGAGGAGGGACAATGAAAGAGCTGTCCATCCAGATTTCATTCTCCTTGTACACAGGTCCACTAATTCTTAGTCGACTCCATTTAACTAGAAGAACAATTGCACTTTAGAATCATTTACAACTCTCATAGAGACAATTCTTCCTCCTGACCCCACTGTGAAAGGCCATGAACCAAACATCACCTTACGAACCCCATGACCGCCCAGAGCATACTACAATCAGCCTATGATACCAGCATTAGCAGCTGATACCAGCCTATGATCAGCATTAGCAAGGCAGTTAATACTGGTTTTTGCTAAGTGGACATTATTTAGTACTTCACAGAGACTTATGCCCCTGTCATCTCCTACCATCTTTCCAAGACACACCTCACACTAGGCTCAGGATGTAACTTCCATAAAAGTGTCTAAAGTGTCACCTTTGACCTCCCACACCTCCTTTCACTCTAAGCTCCTCATAAATTTCACAAGCCAAGACAGAGTTTCTTTTACTACATGCTGCGTTACCCAATGGCTTGCTACGTCTTCTTGGCTTTAGTCTTGACACAGCCATATGCTGACCTGTCCTGAAATTCCTGGACCAGTGAGAAGATCTGTCCCCCTCTAAGCCAGCCATGTCTTATTTTTAAATTTATTACCTTGAATATAAACCAGAAGGGTTTTTTTAAGTTAAAAAATTAGGACTTCCCTCAGCAGACTAATGTGAGAGAATATGTCACCATATAGAACAATGCAGAAGTGGAATATCACTTATACCAGTCTGGTAAGTGCACATGCCCAGAATAAAGACAGTTCTCTCTTGTCAGAAGTGACATATTGAAAAAAAAGTCACATGACCATCTCTTTCTGTTTCTCCTATTCTTTCTTTCACGGTCTATCAGTTTTTGGTATTTTTTCCTTTCTTTTTTCTTATCAATGTAATGAAAATATGTAATTTGTCGTCCAGAAAAAAACAACGCTTATCTCCCTTGTCTTTCTGCATGCTATATTAGAAGCCCCCAGTGCTTTAAAAATCATCAGCGCTATCATCACATGAAGATATGCAATCCACAGAGAGAATTTAATACCATTATAAATGATCCTTTGGAAGACCAGCCAGCACATTTTAAAGTGCTGACCATGACATTCTTTGCCTAGAAAAGAGGCTTAATTGGATTTAACTAACATTTCTGTTACAGTGCTAGACTCACAACGGTACAGCTGAAGTTTGGTCCCAGTTCACAGAGGTGACGGGACCCCACAGGCGTGGTCCACACTGAGGAACGCCTAGGACCCCGGACAGTGGGGCTTGCGAACAGCACAGTTCACGGCCAGCCAGGCGCTGCAGGCACAGGAAAAGATTCGCAGTCCTCTCTGTGACCACAATCTGGCCTACCAAAGAAGATACTCAAGGCAAATAACAACCCTCTTTCCACTTGCATATGCTAAACTCAACTCCATTTAACAGTGTATCTATCCTATTCACTCTAAATATAAAGACATCAACTGCTGAGGGACTAGGCAAAAATTGCTTAAAAATCAAATCTCACCTCAAAAACCTTCAGCTTGCTCTGGGATAAGTTACACGCTCACTTCTTTCTCATTTGGTTTGTATGGGATCATTGACAAGTGTAAACTGGAAAGCTGAATCTCTTCATGATGAATAATTTGTTGGATGCGTTCGAGCACTACACCTAAGTGTTCAGGACTTTTGCTTCTCACTGATTCAAATACATTGTAGTCGAGAAAAGGAAACAGATACAAACGTGGACTTCCCTAAACGCTGGAGTGTGAATATACGCCGTTCTCTTTTATCATTCCCCCTGCTTGCCTCTGCCATCTCATTTCATAACACTGCATATAAACGTGTGAGTCTTTCCTGCCAAGGGTGGATAATGTCACTTTAATGCTCTGTAAATGTCAAGGGTTCTTTCTTTTTGATGGTGGAGCAATATAAAAATCAACAAATTTAATTTTACTACAGTCACGGTTTTCAGATTTCCTAATTACCCTTGGCTATGAGCAAATCAGCTCATCTCTCTATTCTGTACGGCCCCCAAGGTCTTCGATTATTTTTAGTGTGTGTCTGAGGGAGACAGAGAGAAAGGTGGTTTGAATCTATTAATCAAAATGCACGGCAGGACAGAGACAGATTTTTTTTTAATTATGAAAGTAATCAATCAAATGCTTAGACACCATTCCCTTCCCTCTACCTCGTAACTTTCTGATAGTCAGTAGGCAGAAGAGTCCAAGAGATCATAAACAATTCATCATATTAAGAATAACTGAAATAGAGGCAACTCTATTCAGAGTAAATAATAAACTAAGAAACACATGAGAACTTAGTAACCAGAAATATAAAGCACTTGACATATCCACATTTGATTCGATACCAAGATGAACAGGAATCTTAGGCTACTAGCTTGTTTTTACACACTTCTTCATTGCTATTATCTTGGCTCTACCAAGTTAGGACATGTGGAATTATTCCACACGGAAATAGAACTGAGAGGAAAAGAGAGAAGGGAAAAACCCAACATTATTTTTCCCGTGATCAACTACCAGCTCACATGAAGCTCCACAGAACCAGACTTTTTAATGAGGCGGAAATAAACCCTGTTTGCAAAATTTATTATTTTGAAATGATTCAAAACAAAACAAAATTATACACTGAATATTCAGTTAGTTAAAAAAAAAGTTCATGATAATCATTCATGGTAATCAATATAGCATACTGGATATGGCTTAATGAAAACATTTATTATAGCAACCTTAAGCCATACCCATATTTTTATTTTTTGAAAGCATAAATGCACATTGCTCTGTGGAAGGATGTGCTATGCATAACATTTCTATAAACCAAATGATACCTGAAATGTGCCTCAAGGGCTTGCTCTGAGGGAAGCGCAAGTCCAATCATTTAATGAGGACACCTCTGTGATTAAGGGCCCCAAGTATCCACGATACATTGCTGCTGCTGCTGCTGCTAAGGCACTTCAGTCATGTCCGACTCTGTGCAACCCCATAGACGGCAGCCAACCAGGCTCCCCCGTCCCTGGGATTCTCCAGGCAAGAACACTGGGGTGGGTTGCCATTTCCTTCTCCAATGCATGAAAGGGAAAAGTGAATGTGAAGTCGCTTAATCGTGTCCGACTCTTAGCAACCCCATGGACTGTAGCCTCCCAGGCTCCTCCATCCATGGGATTTTCCAGGCAAGAGTACTGGAGAGGGGTGCCATTGCTTTCTCCACCATGACACATTAGGCATTCTAAAAACCTGTGGAGACACTGCTCCTCTGGTCAGGAAGGTTTACTTCACACAAAAGTAACATTAAGAAGAATTCTCCCAGGAAAGGCCTATGCCCCTGGACTGCTTTGCACACACCAGACTATGTCTCAGAAGTGTCTTCACCAGTTACCTAGAAGCTGGAAACCTGTGTGCAGTGGAGTGGTTTCATAGGCATACAAGGTATCAGTTTGAACTGTGTTTCTGACTCCCCTCTCCCCTCTCGGCATGAGAATTTTGCTGCATTGACTGAGGGTTTAGAGTGGAGACTATTTGGTGACTGGGTATAATGTGGCCCCACAACAAAAACCAGCTCCTTCAAGGAAACAACCACCCATTTGAACACCAGAGGGAAAACTGGCTTACACTATACAGATGGTGCTTTAAAGTGCTATTGAGCGTCCTGCTGACCATTTGACAGGGTTGCTTACTCATCACTTTGAGTTAGATGCAACTCCACAAGACCTCTGCTGTGCCTTTGGCTCCACAATGAAGAACAAGCTCCCCTACTGCGTTCTGAAGACCATCCAAGGGCGCTGCTGAAACCCATCAGAGGACGTGAAGGCTTCAGGTGAAGCAAGGAAGACTGGCTGTACAGCCCTGCGCTAAGGAGAGAGCTGAGATGTCTGATCTCAGCTCTGAGGAGTCCATCGCCTAAGGAGTGGGGCTGTAAGAGAGTCTAGCAACACAAAACGCCCATCATCACTGCCTGGTCCAAAGCCAGGCCTGGGACTCCGCGCGCCGCAGTCACCCTGGCGGGTGATGCTGGGATGGCAGGGGCCAGCCCACGGCCTACCTGACAGAGTGGAGCTGCTGATGGTGCTGGCCGGGGTGGTGACCTCGGGCTCCTCCTGAGCACTCTCTGCCGGGGGGAGGGCTGGCTTTTCCGGCTCCTCGTGCAGCTCTCTGGGGTGGGGAGCAGCCCCATCATGTTCTGCCTCTGCTGAAACAGCCAGCTTGGGAAGCAGCCCAGAACCGAGTCTATGTCTGTTGCTTTCGGTATCCGAAGAGTTGGATGTGGACAACTGTTGCCTTAATTAAACACAAAAACAAAGTCACATGTCCACAGACACTATGAAATTGTGTGCAAGGTGAATTTTAGGGGGAAAAAAAAGCAGGTAAAAATGGGACTGACAGCGCCTAACGACACACGTTGAGGGCAGTGACTTCTAAACTGTGCCAGACCAGAGGCATCCCCAGGAACTGGTCGGAAATGCACACTCTTGGGGCTTCCCTTGTGGTTCAGCAGTCAGAATCCACCTGTCAGTGCAGGGGAAACAGGTTTGATCCCTGGGAAGGTCCGACATGCTGTGGAGCAACCAAGGCCATGTGCCACGAGTACTGAGCCCATGCAGAGCCCCCGCGTCGCAACTAGTGAGCCCCCGCATCGCAACTAGTGAGCCCCCGCATCGCAACTAGTGAGCCCCCGCACGGCGACCGGAGAGCAACCCCCTCTCATGGCAGCTGGGGAAAGCCGTGCAGCAGCAAAGGCCCAGCTCAGTTAGAAACACGTAAACGAAAAGAATGCAAGAGGATGTAAAACTGTATTTTTACAAAAAAGGAAAGAGAAATATACATCCTCAGCCCCCATCTCAGACCTCCTGGGTCAGCACTTTGCTTCCACAGGCCCTCCAGGAGATTCGGATGCACTGTCGCGTTTAAGAACCACTGCCCTAGTAGCTGCTGTTTACAGTGCTTCTCAACGAGCATTTCACATACATTTCAGAATACTCTGAACTCCAGCTTAACGTTTCCGTGGATGGCAAAGTTGTGCATTTAGTTTTGTCCCCAGGGTCTTCCTTTTCTTCTCCTGAATTCTGAGTACCTCGATCCATACTGCTGAAAACCTGCAAGGCAAAGAATCAGTGCTTATTAATATCTTCTGGAAAGGGCTTGTCAGAAGAAAAAAAAAAAAAAGTCCTGGGAGAACAACCTGAGAGTATGACTAAGGTTTGAATTGGGGCCATGTTATTCAGAAGGTACTTTCCAAAGCTATTTACTTGAGTCCTGAGGTGAGTGGCCAACTGTACAATTTTATTTCCTTTTGGAGTGGGGAGCTATGAATTCATCACATTCTCACCACATCTCACTATGGACTTTGTATCTGCAAACAAAATCCATACATGCATTGGGGTTTCCAAGCCTGGGATCAACACACGCATTAGATTACATTTAACCATGAAGTCAATCAGAAAAAGAAAATCACAGAGAAAAAGATTTAATGGCCCCCAGTCAGGGGCAGGAAGTAGAAAAATGAATTGGCATTGAGAGGGAAGAGAAGAATACATTACCTGTTTCAAGACCCGTCACGGGGAGATGCAGCGTTTACTTGGTGAGGAGTCAGAGGTATTTGTTTGGCTTATAAATCACATATACCAACAGGCAGCCTCATATATTGATACTGGGGTTTCTGAAGGGGATCATAGCTTAAGCAAACTGAGGTCTCTGCTGTACCACGGGCAAGATGGAAGCGAAAACAGAGAGCTGAGAGTCCAACTCAGGAAGCACTCGCTACACCCAAGCCAGCCACCTGCTGCTCTCATGGGGATGGCCCTTATAGCTCCTATAATCTCCTGGGATTAGGAGGAAGGGAGCAAAAGAACAGGAGACAGCAGAGAGGGAGCAGTGTAGGGGACGGCTTTGATGGGCCAGAGAACAGGTACTGGGAAAGCCTGAACTCTGTCATCAGCTTCTTTCCTGGCTCTGGCCTAAGACCTGGGCCTCCCCTCCAGGGAAATCCCTACCTCTCTGTGTCACTCCTATAACCGGGGAGGGCAGTGTCGGCCAATCTGCAGAGCACTCTGGGTAGTCACTTAGAAAAAGCTATGGAACACTTTAAATCATTCATTGCTATAGAAAAGCTACACAATAATGATGCAAAATGCCATGGCAACAGAAAATACATCTTGAGTGAAAACAGCAAAAGGAAGGTAGGGTGCCCTCTAGGTTCATTTCTATCTTCCTAGGGCCCTGTTCATCTCAGGGCTATCAGGTGTGTCTTTGGTTTGTCTGTCTTTTAAATCTTCCCACTACCAGTCAAAAAGCACCTTTCTCCAACACTGATTTTATCTTCTACTATTTCCAAAATTCTAGCTTGTCTGGCCTGCTGCCCCTTTAATATATCTTACACTTTCTATCACTGATTAAGAGATTGTCTCATTTCACAATCAACTGTCTCCAAGTGCCTGGGCTTATATCAAGGACTAAGCCTTCTCCTTTGCATTGTATCCGTGGGATACTAGGAGAAGGCTCTGCACACAATGAGCTCAAAATTCTTCTTATAAAAGCAATGGGAGGATGCCTCCATAGCTCAGCAAGAGCTAGACCAGGGTCCACATGGAGATGGGATCAGACACTCCCCAAAGAGAAACCGTGAGTGCAAGCCTGCCTCCAAGAAAAAGGATATTAATCTGTGGAGCTGGAACAGAGAAACATACCACTGTATGGGGGGTAGGAACGCTGGTTTATCAAAAGAACGGGTCACTCTTTTCCACCCCTAAAAGATACTCCAGGCTCCGAAACACCACAGGTGGTTTCCACAGTCTTGTAAAGGTATGTAAGGTACCAACTATCTGACCCATGGGCTTCCCTGGTGGCTCAATGGTAAAGAATCCCCCTGCCAGTGCAAGAGACGTGGGTTCGATCCCCGGGTTGGGAGGATCCCCTGGAGGAGGAAATAGCAACCCACTCCAGCATTCTTGCCTGGGAAATTCCATGGACAGAGGAGCCTGGTGGGCTACAGTTTACGAGGTCACAAAGAGTATGACAAAATTTAGCAATTAGGCAGCAACAACATATCTGACCTGTAGGAAATTCTCTAAGAGAGACCCTCTATGTTTATGCCATATTTCACTTACCTTAGAAAACCTATGTGAACATGAGGAAAACTGCCTTATTTCCACATTAAAGTCTTCATCATTCGTGTCATCTTCTTCCTCAGTCTCCATATGATGGTACTTCTCTGACCGAGCTGCAGGGAAAGGTTTGGAAAGCAGTTTCAATTATTCAGAATTTCAGCTTTTAACTTAGCTATTTTAATTATGAGTTTCTCTATCAAGGCAGCATTATGTTTCAGAACTCATGGGTTTAAGACTGGAAGGTACCTATCAAAAACAGAGCTGATTTTCCACAAAGAAAAGGCCAAATAATGTTTTATGTCAGATATTGCACGTACTATCAAAATAACTTGTGTCGTCTTCAGATTCCAGTTGGGGAATGAATTCTGCCTTCTGTCTCAGCAAACTGTTCCAGTCTAAGCAACGGAAGAATCGATGCTGTTTGACTTCGTATGCACCACCTTAGGGTAGGGAGTGGAGGGAAAGAAGAGAGGGAAAAGTGTTCAGTTATCCTCCCAACAAAGGTAAGAATCAGTTTTTAAGAACAACAGAAAAAAAAAAAAGTTCTATTAAGAGAGAATTAAAGAAATCAGGGAAATCTTCTTCACGCTACAAACCAAAGCTCCAAAAATTTTCCCATAATTTATCAGCAGGGAATTTGATTCTGCTAACAGCAGTTGCTATGGCACAGTTTTTCTTTGTTAATTTTTCCATGACTTCCTCCATTTTTCAAAGGTTAATGACACGGCCACTTAAAATCCCATTATGCTGAACCTGGGGATGTGGACACACACTGGCCCAAAGCAGACTTGCTGCTGGCAACCCCCCTAAAATTCTAAGAAGGTATAAAATGTGCTAATGGCAGTAATTCCTCTGGAGGTAAGTTTTATTTATTTATTTATTTGGGGTTACCTACCACAATTGATTTCTCTCTCTCTTTTTTTAAATTATATATACATATATACACATATATATACACATATACATATATATATATATAGGCTATGCTGGGTTTTTGCTGTTGCACACAGGCTTTCTCTAGTTGCAGAGAATGGGGGTTACTCTCGAGTTGTGACCTGTGGCCTCTAGGACATGCAGTTTCAGTCGTTGACCCAGGCATGTGAAATATTCCCAGACCAGGAATCAAACCCATGTCCCCTGCATTGGCAGGCAGATTCTTAACCACTGCAACTCCAAATAAGTCCAAAAATTTTATTTTTAATTGGAGGATAATTGCTTTACAATATTGTGTTGGTTTCTGCAATATAGCAAGATGAATCAGCCATAGGTATATGTATGAAGGTAAGATTTTAATAAAGATGATAATATATAATGGTCATTTTTCAATTTTACTGGATTGTTCATTAACATTGGTAGGAATTAGATTCTATGGCTTACAGATTCTTAAATAAGAAATTGGCAAACTTGTTTGATAGATTTATAATACATGTGATGAAAAGCAACCACAATTCCTATGTTTTAGGTTTCTTTTTGCCAAGTGAGCCTGATATTCAGTGAATATCAGTGAATCAAACTAATATTTGTAATTCAGTTTATGATTTTACAGAGAGATTTTGAAGGGCAGATCCCATCAAAGTATTACACGGTCCCCCATGTAAAGGGGCTTCCCGTGTGGCTCAGCTGGTAAAGAATCCACCTGCAAGGTGGGAGACCTGGGTTCGATCTCTGGGTTGGGAAGATCCCCTGAAGAAGGCAAAGGCTACCCATTCTAGTATTCTAGCCTGGAGAATTCCATGGACTGTATAGTATACTTTTTTCCCTGATAGCTCAGTTGGTAAAGAATTCACCTGCAATGCAGGAGACCCCAGTTCGATTCCTGTGTTGGGAAGATGCTCTGGAGAAGGGATAAGCTATCCACTCCAGTATTCTTGGGCTTCCTTTGTGGTTCAACTGGTAAAAGAATCTGCCTGCAGTGTGGGAGACCTGGATTTGATCCTTGGGTTGGGAAGGTCCCCTGGAGAAGGGTAAGGCTACCCACTCCAGTATTCTGGCCTAGAGAATTCCATGGACTGTATAGTCCATGGGGTTGCAAAGAGTCGGACACGACTGAGCGACTTTCACTTTCCCATGTAAAGAGAAGGTACACATGTTATAAAAATCTCACCATGAGAATCACACCCCCATCATACCACCAACATGCACACTGTTGATGGGAGAGATAAGGAAAATTCAATCTTGAAACAATTTCAGGAAGAGATACTTCTCACAAGACTAGTACCAGGATCTAATCCGTCTCCCAACCAGGAGATATCCCTCGACATGGGTTTCAAATGCCTCTTGAGTGCAGTTGTTACCCATGCTTCTCATCCTGTCCTCAGTGGGGTACAAAAGGAATAGGATGAGAAATGCAAGCTGAATGAAAAGTCTTGGGGCAGGGGAGGTACCTGTAAAGTTCAAAGTCATCGTTCTGTCCTCACTGGGCCTCCCTTGAGCACAAGGAGCAGGTTGGCTAGGACTCCAAACCAGCCAATGTTTTGAAAATGATGGAATGAAGAGAAAAATGCGAAGTGAAAAAATCACCCCCCAAAAGGGAGAATGGGTTCTTTACAAAGTATTTGACTAGAATCTTCATCTAGAATTCCGTAGGCTTTTTCCTTGTTTTTCAGCATGATACTCAAGTCTGATGTTGAGAGCAACAGCATCAGCAGCTGGGATTTGAGGGCCAACTTTGACAAGTATTACACTAGAGACAAGAGGCAACTTGCATCTTTTAATTAAACCACTGAAAGTAATGCCTCGTAGTAGGAATTGTCAACTCTATTTTTTGATGGGTAAAGCAAATAAGCAGTAAACCGTACTGGGTCAAGATCATCCAGTGAGTAAGGAGGGGCTGAGCTGAGGTCTGTCTAAAAACCACCGGTCCATCGTCAGCGCCACAGCACCACATGCCATGTAAGGGAAGGCCTGGTTTAGTCTGGATCCTACCCTGCCCTCTCTCTCGCATCAACTTTCAAATGGATTCACAACTGTGGATATCGGGAAAGGAGCCATACACCCAACTCCTCAGCATGTCTGCCTAGTCCAGCTCCAGTCCTCTGCATCCTGGTTCTCATCTACCCCAACAAACATCCCCAAACACAGGCCAGGGACATTTTCTTCCAGTGATCTTTGCTTGGAGAAGATCAAAGGGCTAAAATATGCATCAATTAAATTCCCTCACTGTGCCAGTGACATAGGTCCAAAGAGTCAGGTCCTTACCTAGTGGCCTACCAAGCACTATTCAGCAACGATTATGACTTCAGCTGCCACTCTTGGGGCCTCATCAAATGACAGCTCTGGAACATCCAGGTCACTCAACTTTAGCCAGCAAAGCATAGTTCTCTGGACCCAAAGGCTCAAAAGACACTTACAGACCATATCCAGAGTGTTTGCTCCCTGACCCACACCTTGGCACACATATTGGTGAGAGCCTTCACTTGCTCTCTATAGAGAATGACAAGCGGGCCCTCCCCGGGGAGCCCAGCCCACTGCTGATCCAGGGCCCAGGTCTCACCCACTGGCCTCTGTGCCCCACTGAGAGCAGCTGCTTATCACTGAGACTTGTTTTTCATGCACTTTTGGAGAGAGGGGGAGCAAAAGAATCAAAAGGACATACCAGAGAAAAATTAACCCTGGGCTAACAACCTCAAACCTGGGGCTTCCCAGGTAGCTCAGCTGGTAAAGAATCCACCTGCAATGCAGGAGACCCCAGTTCAATTTCTGAGTCGGGAAGTCGGGAAGTCATCCCTAGAGAGGGGATGGACTACCTACTCCAGTATTCTTGGGCTTTCCTGGTGGCTCAGACAAAGAATCCGCCTGTGATGTGGGAGACCTGAGTTGGATCCCTGGAAGAGGACATGGCAACCCACTCCAATATTCCTGCTTGGAAAAATCCCCATGGACAGAGGAGTCTGGCTGGCTACAGTCCATGGGGTCGCAGAGTTTGACAAAACTGAACGACTAAGCACATGGCACAACCTCAAACCTAGAGAGTGTGTTGAAAAGCAGAGATGTTACTCTGCTGATGAAGGTCCATGCAGTCAAGGCTGTGGTCTTCTCAGTGGTCATGTACAGTTGTGAGAACTGGACCATAAAGAAGGGAGAGTGCCAAAGAATTGATGTCTTTGAACCATGGTGTTGGAGAAGACTCCCGAAAGTCCCTTGGACAGCAAGGAGATCAAACCAGTCAATCTTAAGGGAGATCATCCCTGAATATTCACTGGAAGGACTGATGCTGAAGCTCCAGTATTTTGGTTATCTGATGTGAAAAGATGATTCATTGGAAAAGTCCCTCATGCTGGGAAAGATTGAGGGCAGAAGGAAAAGAGGGCATCAGAGGATGAGATGGCTGGATGGCATCACTGATGCAATGAACATGAACTTGGGCAAACTCCAGGAGATGGTGAGGAACAGGGAGGCCTGGTGTACTACAGTCCCTGGGATCACAGAGAGACAGATGTGACTGGGCGACTGAACAACAACCTCTTGGAATAATATAGATGGTGGCTTTATGAGCCAAATACAAATCATCAGACACAGGAACTCACACAAATCTCACTCTCACCGTAAGAATTCACCAGAAAGGTAAAGGAAGGGAAAGTGGCCGTTTCTTGCGCTCCTGTTAAGCACCAGATCAATGTAACCACATACCTCCTCCAAAGTGCCTGCACTCAATCCTGCAATAATCCCATGAGGTGTGTAACATGCTTATTTCCACAGATTAGGACACTGAGACTCCAGGCAATGAAGAAATGACTTACGACCTCCCAGCTGGCTCATGGGTGGGAGTCAGTCACATCTGAGCAGGTCTCAAGGCCAATGAGCCCAGCTGCACTCAATCTTCTGCAAGTTCAAAAGTCAAATTCAAATACAACAAAGTCCCAAATTGCAAGTTAAGGTTTGGCACTAGTGTTCTCCCTTGAGCTTTTCTCTCCTTTCACAGAATTTTCTTAAACATCCATTATGCTCTTCACACTCCTTTTTGCAGCCTCTCTAGTCTCTCGGGCAAACGTGCATTCGCACATTTTCGTGCATTATTTTGCCCTCTTAATATGCATCAAATCCAAAACACTGTCATTGAAAGCAGCATGGCAGACTTGTGGGATTCTCAGACTTGCTCTCTGGGCCCTACTGGGACTTAGCACATTGGACCTGCCTGTTTGGCAAGCTCTCCTTGACAATGCTAAGAGCTTGGGCAGGGTCTTTTAAAGTCTTTTGCAAGCTTCTGCTAGAAGATTTGTTTCTCAATCTGTCAAACCCTGAAAAGACTGAAACCAGCAGTCAAGGAGAAAATGTGCAAAGAAAACTTGCAGCGTATAATGTACAGATGTGGATGTTCTGACCACCATCCATAGCCCTGTCTTGCTAAGTAAAGACCAATCGAGAGCCCACACATTCCTAGGAGAGGGAAATGAATGGGCAGAGTAAATAGGAAAACTCTCCAAAGTGATGTGCCAACACTGAAGAGAACTCTTTAGCAGAAGTGCTGATATGATTCCAATACATTTTTAGCTCTCCCTTAGAACAATACTTCCCTGGGACAGTTGATTAGACTATACAAACAGGTATTTGTATTGTTGCAGGGCACTCTTAAAATGCCTCTGCTTCTCATATTTGACTTCAGTGAGTAAAACCACCTCTCAAATCTCTGTACCACACAGAGCCTTGACTCTCATTCTCGGACAGCTATGCTTATCTCTTGGACCATAAAGCAAATCCAACTGTAGATCACAGACAGAGGGAAATAACCAGTTTGCTAGTCACTTCAGACAAAAGGAAATCCAAATAGGGTGACAAGAAAGATAAAGAATTCTATTCAAAGAGTTCAATCAGCTCAAAGATGGGAGCACCATCACCATTCCTAAATCTCATCTGCCAAAGGGGAAAGTATGGGATTATACATGCAGAAAAATAAAAATTGACAACACCAGCAACAGGGTCACATCTGGTCCCAATAGACAGTGTTGGCGATCTTCTATCCTCACAGTAATCCTGGGATGTAGACCTTCTATCAGCTCCATTTTACAGATGAGGCACAGAAAGGGAAACAACCTGCTCGTGATCACAGAGTTAGGATTTAAACCCAGGCAACCTGACTCCTGAGTTTATGCCTTTAGCTTCATTATATCGCCTTTCCTAGTTAAAGGCCCACTTATGGAAGAAAGCAAAAAGCACATGGCACTCTAGCATAAAGGCTTCCCAGGTGGCACCAGTGGTAAACAATCGGCCTGTCAATGCAGGAGATGGAAGAGACACAGTTTGATTCCTGGGTTGGGAAGGTCCCCTGGAGAAAGGCATGGCAACCCACTCCAGTCTTCTTGCCTGGAGAATCCCATGGACAGAGGAGCCTGGCAGGTTACAGCCCATATGGTCACAAAGTCAGACACGACTGAAGTGACTTAGCATACAGTCAGGCACTCTAGTACAAAACTCAACTCAAATTAGTTTTCCTAATTGAGTTCTGATTTTAAAACGTCTTGGGAATTCCCTGGTGGTACAGTGGTTAGGACACTGGCTTTCACTGGCATTGACCTGGGTTCAATCCCTGGTAGGGGAACTGAGATCCCACAAGCCTCGTAGTGTGCCCCCCTGCCCCCCCAAAAAACCATGAAAGCTTCTTGGATTCTCTAAGGCAGGGTCTTCACGGTTTTTCTGCCAAGAGCCAGATAGTAAATGTTTTGGGCCTTGTGGGCCATGTAGTTGGTCATAATTACTCAACTCGGCCAAGCAGCATGAAGATAGCCATAGATAATGTACAAGTGACCAGCACTGCTGTGATTCAATAAAACTTTATTTACAAAATAAAGATCGGATCCAGGGGTTTTAATGCATCATCAGAAACTCTGGGTAGCACAGCATTCCACACTTAAGCAAGAAAAAGAGCTCTCCAACTGAGGAAGCTCTGAGCAAAAGTGGAGAGCAATATAAGATATTGTTTATTTGGAGTTTTTGCAAACGCTTTCTGTCTAGAAAAAACTGGGTGAGAGGATGATCTCATCAGCATTTTCTTGTCTTTCTAGTAAAATGGGGTAGGATGAAACACCTCAGAATAAACAACTCAGCAAGGCAACAATTGTCATGGATGAAAATTTTTATCAATACAGTGTGTATGTGCGATGTGTGCTGTAAGTGTGTGTGCATGTGTGTACATTATGTGTATTTAATATTTAGTCTCATCTCGGTAAATTCACATACTGGAGTTGGCTAGGGCTGTATTGCAATCTCTAAGTCTGTCTATTAAGAATATAAGGAAGAAAAGGAAAAGGAGTTTGGAGAAACAAAAAACTGGTAGTAGAACAGTCACAAAAAATAATCAGCAAGAAATAAATCTACTATCTCCTTTATCTTGAAAGTTAATGTTTTTTAATCCTCTTTCTTGGGCCATGGTACTGATCACCATGATAGAATAGTATGGTTCAACCCAAGGCACTTGTTTCTAGTAATTAGTTCAAGTACTGATAATCTGTTTCAAAACTTGTAGATAGTAACTGCTGGGTCAAATCCTTCTAGGGGAAAAAAACCTCTCCATATTCCTAATCTTCTGTTTCAAATTTTTAAGATTCAGGCTTTTCAAAACATGTGAGTTACATGTGCCCTTTGCCCTTGAAGTTTTCTTCCAGAGAAATTTTATTGACTGAAACAAAGTAAGAAAAATTTCTGCTTTCCAAAAAAGAACAACAAAAAGAACAGCCACCAACCCTCATAGTGTACATACTGCTCTGAATCAGAAAAAAAATTTAAATATTGTTTACTGTATTGTAGTCACATTTTGAGTCAATCAACAGATGTTTCCCATGCAAAAAACAAAACAAAAATACAAACCTCTGAGTGCTTCACACTGACATTATTTCCTACATATTAGGAAAATTAAAACACATGTGCTCTAACCTGTTCCCAGTCTCTCCAGGGGATTCTGCCTGAGGAGCAAGGTAATCAGATCCTGGGCATCAGGAGGTGGTGCCTCATCCTTTTCAGGCCAGTTGATCTCATCTAGAAGGAAGAAAAATAGGTAATAGATTGTATTGCTCAAATGGTGGTCCACATCCCAACAGTATGGATAGCATCCAGGAGTCAGAAATGCAGAACTTCAAGTTCCATTCCACCAGCTTAATCGGAATCCACAGCTGATTCCTTCAGTTGATTCCTAGGATCAGTCAAGTCTGAGAAGCACTCTTGCACAAGATATGTATAGTACTGCTTTCAACAAGCCAGCATAAGAACATTTCAAATGAGTATCTCTCATTTACCTTTTGATTCATTTTTCTTTGGTAGAACTGACACTGCAAATTAGTTCTCTTGATATTAATAGGGTTCAATATAGTGGAAACTCTAAACTCCTATGTTTAAGGCAATCACCCACCCAGGGATCATGGGGAGTCAGATTTTCTCTTCTACTATCATACTTAACTGAGAATTTGGCCACAGCTCTAGAGTTCTTTTGCTTTGAGGAGTAAAAAATAATTTTGTGAAAATAACTATTTTCAGAGACAAAGGAAAGGTTAAAATGCTAAGACTGAAGAAGAAGAAGAAAAGAACCCAAAGAAATCGTAGTAATGGAAGTATTTAAAATCTGCCATAAATATGAAAATAGGTTCTACATTCTCAAGGAGTTGGCCTGAAGATAGGTGTGCATGCTTGTGTGTATGGAAATGCAATAAAAACATGAGTTATTTCTGTGTGTGCCTGCCTCTAGCTTCCTCCGCTGCAGTTTAAATCTGATTTGGAAAATAAAACATGAATATGCAGCTGAGCCGCAAGGCACTGAGAAAGCAAAGCCAGCATTGGCTGCTTGTGTTAATTAAACAGTTGATTCCTCTTGCCACTCAGGCCTTGGTATATCAGCAGACAGTCTAGTTATAAATCCATAAAGAGCTCAGATATTGTATAAAAGGGTTATACACTGCAGGCAACTCGCAAATCTACTTTGTTTAAATTTACAAAGATGCCTGGCTTTCAAAGTCAGTGACAGAAAATAATGCTGTGATTATAAGGTTCCTTATACCAAAAGGAATTATCCCCCTATTTCCACCGTTGGGCCTTCTAAGTATAGTCCAGAAGGGACCAGAGGTGGGTGAAGATGTGAGTGATGACTAACAAACTTTGAGTAAGAGAGGCCTTTCTGATCTCTGCTTCAGGAAAATTTATAAAAACAGCAGGTAGGGTAGTAATAGGCCTATTTAATTATCATTTAGTTTTGCCACAAGCCACATAACAATAGTTAGGGTCAGCTTGCAGGTTAAGATCTAAAGGTTATTGAATTTAAATGAAAGATGAACAGCTGTTAAGAAATAACATTACACCATAACAACTACCAATGAAATCATTAACAATCTGTGGATTAAATTTGCTTCCTCCCCATTCTCATTATTTATTATTTGGTAGACATTTGTTTTAGGGTTTATTACATTTTTGCTAATTTCTTCACTGTGCCAATAGCCATTTTCCCCATCTATGCAAATGTTACCCACATTAACCTTTTCTTCCCTGGTGCAACTCTCCTATTATGGAAAGGAAGACTGGACAGCAGTGAAATCATTTGCAAATCCCACACCAATTTCTTTTGCAGATAAAGCACACCATAAAAATCAGTTACATCGCTAGTACATTTCTAAATTCCACGTTAACAAAACTTCAGATCAATTTCCAACACAAATGGCTCCATTGAAATTGTGAAAGTCAGTTTCATGCTATGATGAGTGAGTTCTTTTAATTTGTTGGCTAAACCATTTGATAAAGGTTAACATTTTAGTAATAAAAACAGTAATATTCCCCAGAATTACATTAAAAAGCTGCTTCCCAACAGTAGCCTAGAGATAACTCCTGACAATATTTACCACTGATGACTTGTCCAAATAGCTCTTCTGGAGTGTCCCCAAAGAACGGCACGCATCCAACCAGAAATTCATAGAGGATAATCCCCATGGCCCACCAGTCCACTGGCTTCCCGTAGCCCTGCCTCAGAATCACTTCTGGTGCAATGTATTCAGGTGTGCCACAGACCTAAAAGATAATTGCAATATTAGAATAATTGGAATATTAGACACAAATTAAAATGAGCAAGATGGCTCAATATCAATTATTTTGCCTAGAATGCACCTGCTCAACCACATGGACAAAGAACTTAAGACCAGAGATTCTAAATCATTGTCTATCATACCAAAGGCAATGAATTACTTAAATACCAAAAAAAAAAAGCAAAGCTTAAAATGCTGCTTTAACAGAAAACTGTGTATAATATCTAATTTCAAATTTGAGTACCTTTATTTACTTTGCAAAAACATTTGTAATCCCTGAAATTTAAAATAATACTGTATTTTTTTCATCTGTCACTCTCAGAGAGTTTTAGTATTTATACGACCGAAATACACTCACATCCTGGTTACTTCATAAAAGCCTGATGGTTGAGACATGTTCACCTTAAGTAACTGTACAATGAACAGATTGTGGGCACATGGTAATGAGGCGTGCTTAAAGAGAAATGGTCCATGGCTTGGAGTTTAGCACCCGTGATTGTATGACGCATCATGAGTTTCATGAGGACTCTACTGAGACTCCCAAATTCCTTACAAAAACAGTTTTCCATTTGTCTCTCTCACACTCTCACTTGTGAGATTAGATCATTCATCTTACTAATAGACCATAATGCTGGGGGAGGAATGTGGAGGGACCTATAGTTCAAAGAGGTCCTGGGAGAAAAATGGGAGCAATTTGCACTTTATTAAATGTAAGGCTTATCAAGACATCTAAAGTCCCAGCGCTAATATGAAGACAGCCTAGGCAAGTTTTGGTTCTGAATCTCATTGGCAATGCTGTACTTTGTATCAGAAATGATAACCCACTCCAGTATTCCTGCCTGGAGAATCCCATGGACAGAGAAGCCTGGTGGGCTCCGGTCCACGGGGTCGCGAAGAGTCAGACCCGACCACAGGACTAACACTTACTAGAACTGAGCAACATGCAACCTTACCTGCTTGTCCAGGAACTCTCGGGCATCCTTTTCAATATGACCCTCATAAAGATTGGTAGTCATGCTCATGAGCCCCACCTTGGATAATCCAAAATCTGTCAGCTTTATGTGCCCCATGGAGGTGACCAACAAACTGTGAAGCAGAAGGACATATATGACAATACTCCTTTGAAGCTCATTTTTTTTGTTTTTACTTTTCTCCCTTCCACTGACAGTTTTTAAGACTATGTAGTATATAGGTATCAATCTTATTATAAAATCCAGCCTGTAAAGAGATGAAGTCACACAAAGATGTTAAATATATTAATATGTATCTGGCAGCTGAGCGTAATCCACAACGGAGGGCTAGAGATCGGGACCTGCTCGTCTTCTCTGGAGCATCTACATACAGGATCACTTACAACTTGCAACTCAGAAAAATTCAAGTACGGAACTCTGACATCTTTGCATTTTCAGAATAAAAAAATAACTGAGAAAGGGCTACTGATAATCCTGTGTTACACATCAGCAACTAGGATAAGCTACCAGTCTGTGATTCAAGTAAGATAAAGAACTTGGAAGAAAAACGTAGTATTGTTTCAGATTTCAACTTCTGACTCAAACTTAAGTTTCTATTCACTAAAGACAAGACCTACATCTCTTATACATGCAAAGAATGCACATTTGAAAGCTTTATGAATTTAGAGTTAAAATTTGTTTTCATTTTAAGCGGCATATGAAATTTTAATAATTTAAAAAATTAAAGGAGGAGTCTAAAAAATAAAGCTATCGGAAGGATATATGCTGAAATCCTATAATTATATTTGGTAATTTTGTGAAATTTTTTTTTTTTGGTACTTCCCAAATCTTTTGGAATGAGCATGAGTTAATTTTATCATAAAGTTTTCAGCACACTGAAAAAATACTTCTAGAGGCATCTCAAATTAGTGGAGAAAGCATGAAACATTTAATAAATGGTGTCAAGAAGAATATCTAGACTTTGGTGGGAAAACAGTGTATCTGTATCTCAAATCAGACACCAAAATGAGCTCCACATAGATTAAAAATTAAATAATAAATTATGAATAAAATAGAAGAGATTCTACAAGAATATCATCTTGGAGGAGAAAAGAATTATCTAAATATGATTCTAAATGCAGAAACTACCCAGAAAACAACTCGTGGCATTCTATGTACCTATTATTTACATAATAAAAACCTTAAAAAAATAAATTAACCCTGGTTTTATACTCTTTTGTTTGTTTCTTATAAGCTATCATTATAAACATCATAGCCTTTAAAAAGATTATATGAAAATTATAAATGCTGCTAAAAATAACTTTGGGGAACATTATGGGAGACTTTTTAAATGTGCAAAGCAGCATTAAAAGAAAACATTTTTTAAAGACAAAAATTTGTATTATGTGAAAAATAGACATATTGCATCAGTGACATACTTGTCTGGTTTCAAATCCCTATGTACAATTCCATAATTATGTAGATATTCCAAGGCCAGGACTGTCTCAGCAAAGTACATCCTGGCCATGTCAACGGGGAGAGGACCCATGTTCTTCATTAAGGTAGCACAGTCACCCCCTATAAAACAGAACAAAAAAGACTTAGCAAGTACTGTATCAGCTGGGATTAAAGACCACCAGTTTAGATTGCAGAATTTCAAAACAGAATGGCCTCTAACCACAAAGTCCATCATGCTCATAAGTGGAGACTGTGTTAGGTAATCATGTTTCTACTTAATTTGTGCTGTGAAGAAAATACAGACGTCTATTTAAGAAGCACTGCTCATGAGGGAGCAGATTTGACCTGAAGTGAAACAAAAAGTTGAAGAACTAATGATGTGTTTTAGGAACAGTGTGACCATTTAAAATATAATAAAGCCCAAGGCTGATTCATGTCAATGTATGGCAAAAACCACTACAATGTTGTAAAGTAATTAGCCTCCAGTTAAAATAAATAAATTAATTTAAAAATATATAATAAACCATTTTGAAACACGGATTCTGGAATCAGGCTGCCTGAGTTCAAATTCCAGCTTTGATTCTTACAGGTGGGGACATCTTAGGTAAACTGGTCTTGGTCCCTTTGTCTGTTATGTCAGGATATGAATAACGTCATCCCTTTTATTGTGAGGATTAAATGAAGTAATCTATGTAAAGAATTTAGGATGCTTTCAACATATATTAAACATGTGGAAAACATTAATGATTGTTGTTAAAATAACCACAGCAAAAGTTAATAAAGTATAGGTGTGGTGAAAAGAACATTGGGTGGAAATCATGCAAGTTATGTTTTTGTCTTGTTATCTACCACTAAATATCTAGTGAAACTTGGGTTTCAGTTCATTCACCTGCAAAATGAAAATGCTATTTAATGTTCCTTCAAATTGTAAAGTTTTGGGATTCTGTTCAAATAATTACAAGGGCTTAAAGCAGATGCTTTGAAAAAACCGTTTTGGCCCTTGCTTACCTATTCATTTTATAGTTTTATTTATGTTAATAAGGCATGGCTACTGAAACACTCAAACATCTCATGTAAAATTGATGGAAATAACATTTCTTGAGCATTTAAAAGACAGACCATGAACTTCCAAAAGAAAAACAGGCTTTTTAAATTAAACTGTAGTGCTTTACACGAAATCCTTGTTATCTATTTTATATATAGTGGTGTATATCTGTTAACCCCATAGTCCTAATTTATTCCCCCTCCCCTTTCCCCTTTGAAAGCCAGAAATTTGTTTTCTATGTCTGTGAGTATATTTTGCTTTTGTAAATAAGTTGATTTGTACTTTTTTTAGAAGTTAGATTTTCTTGAATGTATCTTTCTTCTAACTCACTTTTAATTTAATACCATAGACTGAAAAGGACATATTTTTAATACATTACTTAAGAGGAGCCACTGTAATGAATGATTTTATGATACGTGATAAAAATAAGTAGGAAAAATCCCATCACATATATTCTAACTTTAATGACCAATTGAGAGGAGGTACTCAGGATGAAAGGCTATTTAAAAAGGAAAACAAAAGTAAATGACCCAATCAAAAAATGGGCCAAAGAACTAAACAGACATTTCTCCAAGGAAGACATACAGATGGCACAAAAACACATGAAAAGATGCTCAACATCACTCATTATCAGAGAAATGCAAATCAAAACCACAATGACGTACCATTATACGCCAGTCAGGATGGCTGCTATCCAAAAGTCTACAAGCAATAAATGCTGGAGAGGGTGTGGAGAAAAGGGAACCCTCTTACACTGTTGGTGGGAATGCAAATTAGTACAGCCACTATGGAAAACAGTGTGGAGATTTCTTAAAAAGCTGGAAATAGAACTGCCATATGACCCAGCAATCCCACTCCTGGGCATACACACCGAGGAAACCAGATCTGAAAGAGACACATGCACCCCAATGTTCATCGCAGCACTGTTTATAATAGCCAGGACATGGAAGCAACCTAGGTGCCCATCAGCAGACGAATGGATGAGGAAGCTGTGGTACATATACACCATGGAATATTACTCAGCCATTAAAAAGAATTCATTTGAATCAGTTCTAATGAGATGGATGAAACTGGAGCCCATTATACAGAGCGAAGTAAGCCAGAAAGATAAAGACCATTACAGTATACTAACACATATATCTGGAATTTAGAAAGATGATAACGATAACCCTATATGCAAAACAGAAAAAGAGACTCAGATGTATAGAACAGACTTGTGGACTCTGGGAGAAGGCGAGGGTGGGATGTTTCAAGAGAACAGCATCGAAACATGTATATTATCTAGGGTGAAACAGATCACCAGCCCAGGTTGGGTGCATGAGACAAGTGCTCGGGCCTGGTGCACTGGGAAGACCCAGAGGGATCGGGTGGAGAGGGAGGTGGGAGGGGGGACCGGGATGGGTAATACATGTAAATCCATGGCTAATTCATTTCAATGTATGACAAAAACCACTGCAATGATGTAAAGTAATTAGCCTCCAACTAAGAAAAATAAATGGAAAAAATAAAAAATAAAAAAAAAAAAAGGAAAACAACCTTTTCTTTTCCCAAGTAGCACTAATTTTCCCTTTGTTATAACAGAGCTGGCACTTTACAGGCAATTATCAGAAGGTAATGACTGGGATTACTGCCATCTCATTGCCCAGCCTCGGTTCCTCTGCGGATGCAACCACTGTGAAGCACGGGTCAGTTACATACAGACAGTGGCCTTGGGTATCAGCGCCATGTTCTCTGCATCAGAGACTGACTCACCTTCCACGTATTCCATGACCATGCACAAGTGGCGCCTGGTCTCAAAGGAGCAATACATGCTGACCACAAAAGGGTTTTCTGCAAAAGTCAGGATATCCCGTTCCACAAAGGCCTGCTGGATCTGGTTCCGGAGGATGAGGTTCTGTTTATTAATCTTCTTCATGGCAAACCTCTGCCGGGATTCCTTATGCCGAACGAAATAGACTGCCCTGGAAAGGAGCACGAGGAGTTGGGGTTCAAAGGAAGAGGGGATGTTTCTGGGTACAGTAAGCCAGGTAGGTGGATGTGATCACCCACTTTTTTTTAAGTTCACATGACAGCTGGGATTCAGCCCACATAAACCATGCTGGCAACTATCAACATTCAATTTCAGGTCAAAGTCCTTTGACAAGGTTGATTTTTTTTTTATCCTTTCAATAAAGGTTACAGGTCACACATAAGACATCAAGTCCATTTCAACTGCTGAAGGGTATGGACAGTCTCCAGAATGAGGTATTTCCCAATAGCTAGCTGTTGTTTTCAGTTTTTTCATAAACAGAACAAAATCCAATGTATAAGTTAGAACAGGAAAACAATGAAAAAAGTACACACATATTCTGAGCTAAAGCCTTTCTAGCATTAGATATTAGGCATTTTTTCACAACTGACTAAAGCAATAATTTCCTATATGATACACATGAGATCTACAAAAAGAGACCATAGATTATAGTTTCTTAAAGCAGCTGACTTCCAACTTGAGAGTAATTTACTTCCCATTAACTTTCATAGGGCTTCTCAGGTGGCGCTAGTGGTAAAGAACCCGGCTGCCAATGCAGGAGACAGAAGAGATGCTGGTTCGATCTCTGAGCTGGGAAGATCCCTTGGAGGAGGGCATGGCAACCCACTCCAGTATTCTTGCTTGGAGAATCCCATGGACAGAGGAGCCTGGCGGACTATAGTCCATAGGGTTGCAAAGAATTGGACACGACTGAAGTAACTTAGCATGCACACATAAACTTTCTAGATAAATATGAAGTATGTCTAGATAAATATGAAGGTCATAGGGGGCTGCCCACCCTGCCACAAAGAGAAGCATATTTCTTCACTACAGACCTCGGCATGAGTTACACCTATGTCTGTTTCAACAGGAAATGCATTTCTCAACTGAAAAGGGGTCCAGAGTATACGACATTTCTGGTGCATCTGACCCAGAGGTGAGGTGCCCAGCAACTTTACCCTAAAATGAGCAGGTTGCATGGAATTTCTGCCAGAAGCCTCACCCAAATACTCTACAGAACCAGCTCTGTCTGGGAAAAGACAATGGACTCCTTGGAGCTTCAAATGCTATACAGAAAAGAAGTAATTAGGAGGAAGATCTTCCAAACCCCACCTGGAAATGATGAGCAACAAGGAAAATGTCTTGGACAGGCTCCTTTTCTTATAAGTTACTCGTCACTTATCTCATTATTGAGGGAGAACAGGTCTGAACTCAGGTGAGGCAATGTGCAAATACTTAATAATTTATCTAAAGAGCCATCATCATTAGAAGTGTGTAATAGGTTATATGAGGCTATTCTGAAACAAACGCAATGATAAACTAAGGAATAATTTACCTAAAGAGCTACCAGTCACAGTAAACTCTACCCAGTAGAATGCTTCCTAAACAAAGGGTTATCTGAGATTCATTTCCCACTAGTGATTTTCACTGTCTCTGAAAAAATGAACACAAAGGGGACTAGGACAACCTATATGCCTGCTGAACCAAAATGTCAGAGTGATCCACTGATGTAAATCTTAAGTATATTCAATCTCTGTTTAACCAATGTTCACATCTTTCTCTTAAGTGCTCGACTAGGAATTCATCTTTCTATCAAATGTGTACCTCTTTATCTTTGTCTTCTCATTATATCCACACTTTCCCTTGACTCACAAAATCACACACGCTATCTGAACCACACTCCACACAGCCAGCTGGAGGAATAACCTGGTGTTCCTACGTCCACTGTACAATAAGCTGGCGTGGGGGCTGGCCAGCTGGGTGCTCACCACTTTCCATGTGGGCTTGCTGTCCTCTTCAGGACGCCCAGGCACTTGGGCTTCCACCAGATGGGTTTAGTTCTACACCTGTGCTCCTCACTAGGCTTGATACCATAACTGACTAATTTAAACAAATATTTAAACTGATGGAAAGTGAGTGTGGAAAGAGAAAACATCCTTGTTCATAAGAAAAGTGAATGGAATACTTGGGAAAGCACTGATAAATGTGAGTTACTAATTAGAATTCCCATCGATTCAGTAAAGTGAAAAGATTCTAAATGTTAAGAGAATAATAAAAATCTAGACACAGATTGATTTCAATTTTTGCTTCACTTATAAAGAAGCTAAAAATGGGAAACAAACAACATAGTTCAGTCAGCCCTACATGTCCCTGTCTTCTGTATATCCTTAGATTCAACCAACTGAGGACTGAAAACATTTAAAAAAATCCCAGGAACTCAATAAAGCAAAACTTGAATTTGCCACACTGACAACTATTTACAAAGCATTTACATTGTATTGGGCTTCCTTGGTGGCTCAGCTGGTAAAGAATCTGCCTGCAATGGGGGAGACTTGGGCTGGGATCCCTGGGTTGGGAAGATCCCCTGGAGAAGGGAATGGCTACCTACTCCGATATTCTGGCCTGGAGAATTCCATGGACTGTTGCATAGGGTTGCAAAGAGACACAACTGAGCGACTTTCACTACATTGTATTAGGTATTATAAGCAGTCTACAGATGATTTAAACTATTGGAGAGGATGCCATTTTATGTAACAGACTTGAGCATTTGTGGATTTTAGTATCCAACGGAGGTAATACCAAAGAATGACTATGTAACTATGATTTATATTAGCTGTCTTATAAAGGTCTTACATCAAAAGGCTGGTCAATTTACATATATTTAAGTTAAATTAAAATGTTTAAAGTACATATCATTTTTGGGCGATTTCCTGCTTTGACTAACTTTTTCATTAACCAGCTTAACTCACTCTTTCTGAATCAAACACTGTGACGATTTCCCCCCTTTTTCCAATTACTAATTCGATAGAGCAGAACAAAAGATTCGAAAACACTTGAGCTTCTCCTAATCAGAAGCTGATAGTAGAACAGACATACTCAAAGGGAGCACAGAAAAGAACTTGGCCTCGGCTGAGATATGAGACAAGCATTAGCAGATGTCATGATGAGGGATTTCTGAAATATAAAATCTGCTTTTTAAAATAAGTCTCAGAACTGAAGATGTTAAAAAGTCAGTATCTTTATATAAGCACTTGCCTATTCTTGAGAGTCAACTGGAGTGCAGTTCAGTTACTATCTCTTCTTTCAATGTTTAATATTAAGTAGGTTTAGTGCTAGGATTTCCAGACATATGATATTGAGAATTTCACTTTTAGACTATCAGTAGGTTGCCTTTTTGCCCGCTGTTATATCTTTCTTTTCTTTTTGGCCATGCCACAAGGCATGTGGGATCTTAGTTCCCTGACCAGGGACTGAACTCATACCCCCTGCTGTGGAAGCACAGACCTCTAACCACTGGACTGCCAGAGAATTCCCTAGGTTGCCATTTTGATTTTCAACCACGCACCACCATTTCTCACATAAATAACTGCAAAAAAATTCAATATGTGTGAAGACAACAGGAAGTGAAGGGAAAAAGAATAGGATTGCACATGACTTCATGAAAGAACAAAAGAGAAAGAAGCCCCGGGGTTAATTTGACCAGCACTTAAACTAGGTACAGTGTTAATAAAGGCCTTCAATCTTTATCCTCAGATTTTCAGTTCATAACATTTGATTTGACTTTCTGCTTCCCCTTGTTATTTTATTTAAAACAATCAGGTAATCCTTAGGAATTAACTGAAATTAATTTCAGTTGAAATTAATCCTATAGGTAGCTTGAGATACCATTTCCTCAGGACAAACATATCTTGTTCAAGTTGCAAAAGTCAACTTAGACTTAATTAGAATCCCCTGAAGCTGGGTTTGTTTTGTTTATGTTCTGTTTTAACATTTTGGTACTGCTTTGGGAATATTATTTCTAATGCTGAAATTTGTTCATTTAGTAAGAGGTGTTCTCTCACATACTCCTTTCCTCCCTTCCTATAAGTCAGTGTTCAAAATCTACTCAAGGCAGCAGAGAGGAGAGGAGAGAGAGAGAGGGAGGGAGAGGCTGAAAAAGAGAGAGAAATAGGACAAACAGCAGTGGGACAGACAGACATCTAACACTGCGAGGCAGAGCTGCAAACCGCCCAAGTCTAGTTATAAAACTAGGCTGAACTGATTTGGCTCCCATTTCTCTGCTTTCTGTCCCCAAGGGTTGCTTTCTTTGAAAAGGCTTCTGTGTCTCTTTTCCTATACTGACCCCTCTGTGAAACAGGAAGACTCAACGATGGGAGGTGATGCGTCAGGAGGGGCAACCCGCTGAGCCAAGCATCACTCCACTCAAGCAGAACTGAGGTGGGGGCGGGGAAAAGCAGAATGGGAAGCAGGCAGGATCTAGAGCAGAATGAATCAGTCCTATGGGGAGGGTGAATGTCTCATGCATATACAATTGCGCATGGATCTGAGAGCCTGATACACGAATCCCCGCGGGCAGAGCCTCACGTGGGAAGGAGAGTGCATGTGTTGTCGAGACACTGAGAGGAAAGGCTATCAAGAGGGGGCATCTGTCAGCTTGCACACCTGGTCTCCCAGGTAAATGACTCTGTCCTTTGAGGGTGAAAAAAGAAAGGGCAGCAAGAAAGGCAAGAAAGGAATGTGAAGTGGAGAAGAGCTGTGCCTCTCAGGTCCCGTTTACTTACTTTAAAAAATTTTAGATTAGTTTTATTCTTTCACTTTGAAAACACTCAAAATTGTTATCTAAAAATCTAGGTGGAGGGAAGTTCCCGGCCGTCCAGTGACTCCATGCTCTTACTGCCAGAGGCCCGGGTTTGATTCCTGGTCAAGGAACTAGGCTCTCACAAGCCTCGTGGCCAAAAATATTTAAAAATAAATAAATAAAAACAAAATCTAGGTGGATGTACTCAATGGAAGAAGGATTTCTATACCCCAACTGAGATGACTAAAAGTTATAAACAAAATATAAAGGGAGACAAGAACTCTGCTTACAGTCAGTGTATGTGTGACCAGGCCTGGAAGCCTCTTTCCCCACATCAACACCTCAAAGGGTCTTGTGAGGAGATGACATATATAAAGAGACTAGTTCAGTGCCTGGCACACAGTAGGTGTTCACTTCCTACAAAGTACTAAGTTTGGCTTGAAGGAAGTTTCAGCTTCCAGGCAGGGATCTGAAACCTACTAACCAGAGAAGGAAATTCAGTGCTCATCAAGTTGGTAAAACGGCTTCATGCCATGCGAAAGTGAAAGTGTTAGTCACTCAGTCTTGTCTGACTCTTTCCGACCCCATGGACCGTAGCCCGCCAGGCTCCTCTGTCCATCGGATTCTCCAGGCAGAAATACTGGAATGGGTAGCCACTCTCTTCTCCAGGGATCTTCCTGACCTAGGGATCGAACCCGGGGTCTCCTGCACTGCAGGCAGATACTTTACCATCTGAGCCCCCAGGGAAGCCCCTTCATGCCATGAACTCTCACTAAGCAGGGATGTTGAGAAAATCCTGACCTGTTACAGCTCTTTCTAAGAAAAGGGTTAGTTTCCAGCATAACCAGTTTTTGAAAAGTCAAAGAACAGGTCACTGATATGAGCAGGGGATTCAGCTACAGGGAAGCCCAAGAGAGCCTTGAATGGCTTCAATTCATGGCCCACAAGGGATCCACCTGTTCAGCCAGTTCACAGAACCCCGCCATAGCATCTTGATCATAGCCAGTGGGTGTGGCTCGATTCAAACTTTAAGTTCAAAATAATTAAATCTTAGAGGAAATCTGTCAGAAACATAGTGAGAGATTAACTTGAAGTGTAAAAAAGAAAAAAAAAAAGTTTTGGCTGATCAGCACAGGCTTCCGCAGGCAGCTTGTAAGCCCATTAATGACTTGGCCTGCGTCCTGGGTGTTTACGGATTCACAGCTTGTTTAACTTCTTGTATATTCCCAACCATTCCCCAAAGTGTGATATACCTCATCTACTATACAGTGGTTTAATTGCACTACAAATGAGTTTACTCAACCAATTAGAACTCCATATACAGCTAAGATATTTGCTCAAATTTTATAAAAGTGGTGCTTCACTGACAATCCTGTGCCAGAATTTCACTTCCAATAAAATCAAGCAGTGCTCATACCCACAAATTCCTTAAATCAAAGTTCAGTCTTCTTTCTAATCAAAGAAGAAATCCTCAGAGGATCCCCAGAACGAAAAAGGATTAAAAGCCAACAATATATAAACAAAACCCACAAACAACCACATGCTAAAATGATCTTCTTAGGCAGAAGAGTTTCAGTGAGGTCCTTGAAAAAAATAAAACATTGCAAAAAAAAAATCAGAAACCATTTATAAGCCACATCAGGAAATATGCCATTTGACATAATCCTGAAAACAAATCAGTGAGGCATTAGAAAGGACTCACAAATGTTTAAGTTCTTCACTAAGTTAATGGTGTGGAAAATATTAGAGGTGAAAAAAATCATAAGAAGAAACATCCCTTGTGGCATAACAAAAATCGTTTCTATCTCATCTGCTCATGTGTGTGATAAATGGCAATAAATGTCTACGGGATGGTTTATTGCCCTCCACCTACAGATGGAATTGCGATTAATACTTAATTAAACTAGAGTTCTGGGCTGTCTAGAGTGGATCAGGACACAGTCTGTGTATGAATTATCCTTCCAAATTATTAGTAACTCAAAAAGGATCCTGTCAGTATTGACCTTAAGCCATGAGAAAGAAACTCTGTGTCTATAAAACTGAGTCAAGGAAGGGGCACCACTAATATAATCAGACTATAGCATAGAGGCCAATTGAAAAAAAAATTCTGGTGTAACAGAAAGACAAAGAATTGTATTACTTCATATTTTCAATCAGCCTTCTTATTTAAGTTCTTCTCTTCCAAGGCTGACTGCTGGTCAGGTAGGAAACACTGGCTAATCCTCAAGAAGAAATGATATAAATGGAATTTGTATATATTCAAATATATATATACATAAATATACAGCCAGATGTGTATATATATCTATATATCTACATAGAAACAGGCATATGCAAAAATGTTCCCTTATTTTAGAAATTTTTGTTTTCTAAAGTCTTTCTCTCCAACCCTCTACAATAACTCCCACCCATGTCACTTGAAATACTTTCTGTTGAGGTATTCAATGAAAAATGATTTGGGCTTTACCTTCTACCCATTAAATGAAGGAGCAGTGATCTGAAAACTAAAGTCCCCAACAATATCTATTTGGCATTAAGATCAATGTGAAGAATATACTTCTTAGGTGTGTTAAAACACAATAGAGTTTTCTTGAATTACTCACCCATAGGCTCCATTGCTGATCAATTTAATCGTTTCAAAATCACTTTCCCGAGGTTTCCTTCGAAGTTTCAGGGAAGCATTAGAGCTCTTGGAGACGAAACACAGATGTTAAAAAAAAAAAAAAAAAGCACAGAATTTAAGAAAATGATTTTAGCAGCAAAATAATTAATATCTGAATTACATGCTCTCTTGTTTAAAATGTTAAAGTGCAGTATTATAGCCAAAGGAACCTGGGGGACAACTTTAAAGATCAATTTTCCAGAGCAGCGCTGATAAACTATTCCTCACAACAGTGGCTCAGATTCACTGAAGTGAACCTCATTTCTGGGAGATAGAGGCACCATGGTTTTGAGAATTCCTGATTTTAATTTACCTCTGTAAAGTATCTGGGTGAACCTCATCCTAGTCTTCTAAAGTTTTTTTAAGTCTTTAAAGTCATCTTAAAGTTTTAAGTCCAAAATGCCAAAGCTTAATTCTGCTTTTAGTCAATTAGAATAGAATGGGCTAGAGTGGCTCTATGCAGGCTAGTGGACCATGTGACTTGTCTGTCTGACCCAGAGCATCTCTATTTCACTCCTGTGGCAACCTTTCCCATCTGGAGAAGGTAGCTGGCAATGAATGGGATGGCCAAGCAGAGCATGCCTGTCTTTCTTTACTTCCATTCATTGTAAGTCTTACGATGGTTTAGATACCAATTTTCAAGAAGACAGCCCCTTTAAAAGTTCAGCTCACAAAATAAACAGTGTTTTGTTTTTCTACAAAATTGCCTCACACTCCATGTACCTTAGCACTGAGAGGGAGTTAACAGTCATTTTGCTTCCTCTGCAGAGACCAGAATCCCCTCCTCATAATTTTGGAAGAACCTCCATGACTCTGAGGAATCCTCCCCGGCTCAGAGATGGCGCCCGCTGACCCGCTGACCGGCTGCCCACCATCCTTGGAAGACTTAGACTGACCTTCGCACCTTCCTGGGTGACTTCAGTATCTACACAGAGAGCTCACCAAACATCCTGGTCCGGGTCTACGTGACCTCCTCAACTCAAACAGCTCCCTTCTCTACTTCTCCCTGGCCTCTGGCCACAGGACCTGGGTCTACTCATCCCCTGCGAGCACTCTACCTCAGGAAACACAATCCAAGGCTGGGACCACTTACTTGTTCAGCCACCCCACTCTGACTGCTCTCCACAGCTCGGGCTGCAAACACCCTGAACCAATCTCTGTCTCATTAATTCTTCCTCACCTGCTCCCGTGGATGCCTCCTAAGCCACCTAGACCGTCCACCAGAAACTCTCCCTCTGAGGGCTGGAAGGTCCCGCGCCTTATACACAACTGCCTGCTTGATGGCTCTCCTTGGATGTCTCAAAGGAACTTCAGCTTTAGCGCATTCACCATTCTGGCAGTTATAATGAAACTAATTAAAAAGTTGCCTTTATTTACCATTTACTACGTGAGGCTGTCCTAACCATTTCACACAGACTAGCTCCGTTAATTTTTCATATATATTTTATAGATGAGGAAACTGAGGTATAGAGAGATTCCCACAGCTAGTGTGAAGTGAAGCCAGGCTTGAAATCTGGCAATCTGGCTCCAGAGTCAGGGCGTTTCATCCCCCAGGCTACACAGCCGCCCTCTCTCCTCACCACCCCTGACGCTTGGGGGTGGCCCGTCCTGGTTCCTCTCCCTCTGATCACAAACAAGAAGGGTGGCATCAGCACGAGGCCCTCTCACCTGTGCTGCAGCCTTTCAGATGGCTTCCCCAGGGTCCCCGCTGCCCGCTCCCCTCACCCATCTTCTTCCTGCACTGCGATCAGTGTGACTGTCTTCTCACTGTAACTCTATTAGGGTCATCTCCTTATCTACTCCTCCCCACGCCGCCCCCCACCTCACGACACACACACCTTTCCTTCACAGCACCACAGCTTCCCACCGCTCTTCGAAAGAAACGATTTGACACAGATGAACAGCAAGGATGTCTGTGTGTAGTTTTAACCAGAGCTGGAGAGTTTTAACATGAAGCTAAAGGCTACACGGTCACCATCATTCTGAAGCCCTCAGAAGCACTCTCTTATCATGTGTCTCCTGAAGTTTCCTTGGCCTGGAAAGTTCCCTCTGCCCCTTCTCATCCTAGTAACCCCTCACATGTCAAGTATCCCTTCCTTAGGAGATCTTTCTGGACTGGCAAGATGAAGGTAAATCTCTTTTATGTTATGTTCCAGGAACACATGGCTCTTTTTCTTCATCAATCTCCTTCAAGTTTCTCATTTTGATTTTTTGTGCATGATTTCCTTATATTAATTTGTTTCTCTTTAAAGAGAGTGGCTAAAGTTGTACACCTAGTGCCTCGCCTACAGAAGCACAATAAATATGTGTTGAACAAATAAAGTAATTAACACAGCCAAAATCTCCAGATGATCATAAACAGAAAAACCAACATCATATTTCATCAAGAAAGATACTTACACTCACTGATTCATCTGTTTCTGGTGTTTCTGCTGTCCCACTATCATAGTTTCCCAGCTGAGCCATTTCTAAATTGAAAAAAAAAAAAAGCAAGATTTAAGAGAAATAGGACTATTGCAATTGGACAGCAGTACTATGCTACTAATGAAACTAAAGAAAAACCATTTTCTTCAATATTAAAAAAAAAGAAAAATTTACTCTATACTCCAAGGTACACATGAGGAAATCTTAAATCCAAAATGGCAAGAACCAACAACTGATATTTTGAAACTGTTCATTACATGCCCCTTTCCCGAGAATCGCATTCCCTATGCATACTTAGACATAGTCCTACTCGGAGGTGGGCGTCTGTGCACGCTAGCAGGACCCACCGGTTGACACAATCACCACAGCGCGGAAGGGGTTTGGAGGGTTCAACGACTATGCCTGTAAACAGATACTCAGGAGAGGCAAGTTTCCTAGGCTCTGACAGGCATCATAGAGGCACTGACTATAGCTCAGAGACTGAGTCTCAGGTTGTGATGAGCCACCCTTTGCTCTATCCCGTCACATGCAGCCTTCCTAGTCCATGAGAATTCGCAGTTTGTCAGAAAGGAAGCAACAGTAACTGTTAAGAAGAGTTTGGAGTTGAGATGACTTGAGCTACCCCTACTAAGAGCACTTAACTAGTGAGTTCTTAACCTTGGGCTCTCTCTCTGTAGGATGGAAACACTACTGTTTATCTCAGTGTCTTATGAGTATGACAAGGGATATGCATGTAAAGCTCTTAGCATGTTAACTAACAAAAATTAAGTGCTTATTGAATGTTGATTGTTATTTATTACTATTAATTATACCATGTAAAGGGGTCAGTTCTGGGCTGGATGCCACATGCTTGACACCAGTTTAAATTCTACCCTACTGGTCTCGTTAAGAGACAAAGCATTTAATTGCTCAACCAATACTGGAATGCATCCTTGAGTCTACATAAGTAAATGAGAAAACCGAACTCATTTTATGGTTTGTTTTGATTTTTATACTTAAGAGAAAAAAACAAAACATGTTTAATTTAAAAAAAGAACGTGAAAGACGTGAAAGGATTTTCTCCAAAACTTTTGATAGGGGGTTATCTCTAAGTGGCAGGATCACAAATAATTTGAATTTTCTAATTTTTAAAAATCAAACAAGTATAATAAAGAGTTACAGTTTTTAGTTACATATTTTTGTGTGTATCTAATATTACTTCCTATGTGCTCAGAATTTCATGGATTCATGTTCTTATAAATATAATCATCCTTTCTTGGGAGTGATTACACATAAAAGATATGAAGCAAAGCAACACTAGAGTGTTGCCTTTAGAGAAAAATTAACTACAGAAATTAAAATAACTGGAGATTGACACTATACCAGGTTACTTACAGAGGAAATCCAGGAATTAAAAATGAGCTCAGTAAAAACTGTGTGCTTTCTTTGTGTCATTTAAATGAGTCAACATCCTCTGTGGCTAGCACTGTGACTAGGAGGTAAATTATAATGTATTCAGTTGGAGGGGCTCAAAGTATTTGTGCGTCATGTCTGACTCTTTGCAATCCTATGGACTGTACACTGCCAGACTCCTCTGTGGAATTCTCCAGGCAAGAATACTGGAGTGGGTAGCCATTCCCTTCTCCAGGGGATCTTTCTGACCCAGGGATCAAACCTGGGTCTCCTGCACTGCAGGCAGATTCTTTACCATCTGAACCACCAGGGAAGCCCCAAAACAGCAACAGTAACTAACACTTATTAAGCATTATTATACATCTTGGGTGCAGAGGTGAACTCATATAATCCTAAAACAACCATATGAAGAGATGCCATTATTCAGTTTTTAGGGAAAGCACTGAGGCACAGGAAGCTCATCAGTCTGATCAGGGTGACCCACCTACAGTGCTGACACCCTGGGCAGTCCCATGCCAAACCCTGACTCTGAACCCTCAAAAGTCAAGTTTTAGGTCTGCCAGTGTCCATGATGACAAGAAGGCAAATATACATAGATCAGAGTTTGCAATAATCATGTTTTAAGTGATTATGGCAAACAGATTAAAAATTATCCTTGGATCTGAATTCAGAAAATTAAAAAGTTAAAAACACAACTCTTAGTGATAAATTTGTATAACTAAAACATGAAACTTGTCAAAAATCAGTGTTAAACATTTTTTAAGACTATAAAGGTATATAAATGGGCCTCAGATTATTCCCCTACCAAAGGTTCAGTCTACAGCGATATTTCCTGCCAGGTAAGAAAACTGTGAAGAGCTCACTCGGTCTACAATTCAAGGGCTGACACAACCTTAACTCTACCAGCGTGAAGAGTCACTATAATACACTTTGACAGCCTCCCCCACTCCAATTATTTTCATAAAAAAACAAATTAAAAGATGGTTCTGTTTTAAACAGAGTTGCTGCTAAATAACTATTATCTGGGAAATACATATTATTTGTAAGCAGTGGGTAGTAATGGAATGGAACCAAGAGTCAGCTTTTGAAGCAGGAAGCTAAGGCATCATTTTGTAATGCCTGAAGAGATTTTTAAAACTCATCTAAATACCATTAAACATCTGCCCTTTTTATTTCATTGATTTAAACCATTTCTGAAGACTCATGATTCAAAAAGGTAAAGATGGTAATTTAAAAGCCATGGGGAAAAATCTCTCCCCAGGGAACTTTTCAGAAAAGCAGCCACCAGTCTCCGATAAGTGATGAATCTGTTGTGGTATTGCTTTCAGTACAGTATAAATTTATCTGGCATTATCTCCCCGTAATGCATGCATCATTTCACTGGAAGCAAAGACTTGATGGCCATAAGAGCAGCAAAGCGGGGGGAATAGGAGAGCAGTCAGAGAGCAGCAGGTTCTCTGGCTGTAGATGGGAACATATCTGTGCCAACAGTTAGCAGCATCACAAACAATTTAGCAAGATAAACACGGTTTGCAAATTCAATTTAATGAACCAGGAAGACGATTTTGAATAAAGGAGTCTATGACTGTTTTTGAGTCTTTTCAGGCAGTATATAACCTAAGTGTTTTAAATGACAATCCCAAACAATAATGAACAGGAAAAGGTGGTGACAGGGGTGGTTTGCCAATATCAGATTTGGAAAAAAACAAAAAACAAAAAACAAAAACCAACCCACTAACAGGGTGCTTCCCCTTCTCTGCATTTAATAGCAGTAGACTTTTTTTTTTTTTTAATCAAGCAGAAATCCTTGCTTAAGTTCTAGAAAGCCTTCTCTCTCCAACTGGCTCCCCGGTATATATATATATATATAATATATATATATATATATATTACTATTTTTCATACTTTTCTAAGATAAGTAAGTAAAAATAGATTTACGAAGACTGCACCTGACTTAAAGTTAATCACCAGTGATCAGTTACCTTACTCCTCAGTTACATTGAAATGTTTTAATTAAATTTTAAATTTTATGTAGTTTTAATTAAATTTTAAATTAAATGTAGTTAACTTCTTTACCAACATGTAAAAAATGTGCACCCCTGAGAAGAATCAAGTAGCGCTTCCCAGGAGAAACAATACCCCGAGAAGATGGAAATCTAAACCTTCCTGGAAATAAGTTTCAGGCTGAGAAGCCTTCAGGATTTCAAGGTCTCCTCCCCACTGTAGGTAAACACAAAATTCGATTTAGAGCTCTTTCCTTTGGGTCACAATTGGCCCCCAGATTTGGCCTTTTCACCAGATAGTGGTCAAAACAAGAAGAAAAAGGAAAGATTTCCCACTAAGTTATTCAATGGGGCCATGATGAATAAGCAGGTAAAAGGTCAACCCAACCAGGTACTACTCACCTTCCAGAGGATCTTTATTGAGGCCAAGCTGGCTAATGATGTACCTGGGAATGTCAGTTTTAATACCCTGTCCTTCTTTGGCATGGCCTTCTGCTGCTTCTAATAGGTAGTAAAATTCTTCAGGATCAAATTCCTAACAGAAGACAAACACAGATGTATACTTCTTTGAGCCAAAATTGTGTAACATTTTATTACATAAACCCTATTCACAGTGAAATTGCTGGATACATATGGTTGTAAGTTATTTATACTGAAAGTAGGCAAAAGGATTACTTCATTTAAAAAGCATATAATTTTCAGGTCATATTCAAAGCCTAATCATATTCTAAGACATTAAATCCTTGGTAACGTAAAGATAATTTCCATTTCCAATTTCCTTGTAATGTGACTTTGAAGGTACCAGGCTCCACTTAAGCTATCTATCCTACTGAAAATGAACAGGTCTGAATTTTTAACTGTGCCATTTTAGAAAAGTTTTAAAAATCCATGAATCTCTTCCAAAGAGATTCAGTTTCTCTCTCTGCCCAAAGAACCTAAGAAGAAGTAATATGAGAATGCATTTTTCTGAAAAGTTTTGAAGGAAACTCCTTTAGTGTAGAGGTGTCCAAAAATATTAGAAAGAAAAATCTCAAAATTACCACTTTTATCATTGAACTTTAAAATTATGCTACAAAATTAGTACTTCCAGTTACCTCTTTGTAAAAATTTGGTAACATTCTCTTAAGCAGTTTACCTTTGGCTGGCTATTGCTTCTAAATGAAAAAGCATGCTACTGATGGAGTAAAGCCAAGCCAACGTCCACACTCAGTACCCTTTACAGAAACCTAAAACCAGAGGCAAGGCAAGAATGGAACTACAGGCCTAAGATGAATGGTTGGGAGAAATATTCCCTAAAATTCCCAAACTCTAGTTTCATTTGAGCTTTAAACAGCTCAAAAAGCAGCTCACTTGTTTCTATCTTTGATAGGCTACATGAACCTTTACTGCTTCTCTTCTGATTAAGACTGATTACTGTAAAAAAGTCATTTCCTCTTTGAAGGCACCATCTCTCTCAGCATGTCTGCTGCTGTCCAGAGAAGCAAATTTCAATGCTAAATGGTATTTCCCCCCAAACTGAACAACTGCAGGAAGTACAAGCCTGTGGTGCATAATTCAAAAGGTACAACACAAAGAGCAGGGAAAAAACCAGCCTTCCTTCTTCTGGCAGTCACATGGTTCTCTGCCCCAGAGGCATCCGGAGTATTTTGCTTTCCCTTTATTCTTCCAGAGACACTCAAATGCTGAATGGTGCTTTTGGGTCTAGGAGTCTAAGAGTCCCTGCATTGATAGAAAGACTTCCTCCACCATACGCCTACCTTTCTTCTCTAGACTTACCCTCTACCACATCTCACTATGCACTAGTATAAGTTTATGAGGCTGTAAACATTTCACTGTTATTAAAAAACCACAAATCTTAATTACAATAAGAATAAAACCAAAATAATATCACCAAGTATGTATATGTGTGTGTACATGTAAAGTTCTGAAAAGCTGTATTGTACGCAGTGTTATAAATATCAATAATCTAATGGCTTGTGAACTTAAAAGTGAGTTTTGATATTACTTGAAGCCCCATGAAACTATTTTTTTGTTTGAACCCTCATCTTTGTTCACAGTGTTGACTGACATTTCAATCAAAACAACATAAATTAAAGCAAATATTTTCAAACAGGAAAATGGTCACTGACTAAAGAAAGTATAATCAATAAACTAATTGTGGAAAGTCTCATTCCTTGAGGTCTGGATAAGGCCCTACTGTATTCTCCAAATGGGCTGCTGACACGCCCTTATTTCGAACATGCCACATTTCAAAAGTAAGAGTTATAACCACAGGTTACCATTTATCCTAGCTCTTATTTCCCTTTCTCTGCATCTTGGCATCTCCAGAAAAGTGAGGCACAGTGAATGTCTTGAATGAGCCCGAACAAAGAAATTATGCTGAGATAAAGTCAAGTGCATTATTTCATGATTAATTTTTTAGGTTTGACCAGAATGTGATAACAACCACCTCTCAATACAACACAAGTCCTAGAATTTTACCAAAAACGGGAGAAGGAAAGCACAGATGTTGTCATCAACATTCATGAGTTGCTGTTCCTCTTGACTCTCTTTTTTTTTTATTTTTATTTTTTTCATTTATTTTTATTAGTTGGAGGCTTGGGCTTCCCTGGGGGCTCAGACCATAAAGAGTGTGCCTGCAATGCGGGAGACCTGGGTTTGGAAGATCCACTGGAGAAGGAAGTGGCAACCCACTCTAGTACTCTTGCCTGGAAAATCCACGGAAGGAGGAGCCTGGCAGGCTACAGTCCATGGGTTCTCAAAGAGTCAGACACGACTGAGCGACTTCACTTTCTCTTTCTTGACTCTTTCCTTTTAGCTCTGTCTCTGAAGCCAAATGTAACTGGGGCTTTCGGGTGGTCCCTGCTTTCCCACAGTTAATAAATAACAAAGTCACTTCGAGGGACAACTCACCAGGCACTCTAATAAGCGAGCAGGGCGGGCGATAACAATCAGGATCTTTCGAACTAGTTGTTTAATAAATGCCAGCTCTCCACTTTCTGAACGATTGTGAGCCTATGAGGAAGTAATGAAAAGAATGATGAGAGAGTTGCTCCATTAAATGGGAAAGAAAATCAGCAAAGCATGCTAATTAGATAACTGAAAATATTCAAAAACTAAGTGACTTAGAAAATACTTTTAAAAGATTGATAAGCAGACATTATCTCTACATAAATGGACACTACTAAACGTCTAGATCTACCAAACGGCTCCATTAGCTACATTTTAATTGCAAAACGTTGATTTATTCTCTGTGTTAAAAATCAAACATTAGGGCTCTTAATGTAAGCCATGAATGAAGGAGACATTAAAGCTTTATGACATATCAAGTACATGATACAAGCAGAGTGGATAGTTGATAAGGAACCTTGATTTTCCAGATATAACTGGAGAAGCTGTATGCTGCTGCTTATATCAAATGTTAGGTGAATAATTAAATCAAATGCAACTTTCCAAAATGTAGGTAGAGAAACTATATACAAGCAAAAACAAAACAGTTAACATTTAAAAGAAAAAATAGAGAAAATGACCATTGGGGAATGATTATAAAATAAAATGTGTTTAAAGACAACCAACTGGCAACTATAAATAGATCCTGATGGTGCTCTTTATGTTACACATATATATATTCCCCTGCCCAAGAGAAAAATTTCTCTAAAAGTCAACAGTTAATCTATTATATGGTGCATTCACATGATTTTTTGAAACCCTAAGATTTTTTTCTAATTGCCATGAAACAGCTGGCCAAGTCTATCATATAGAAACAAAATTAAGTGGGGTATTTCAATGCAAATAGCTTCAGCTATGGATTCAAGCCTTCACAGGGAAAGCCTATGAAGGAATGAACCACAGAAATTAACTGGTAATTATAACAATATCCTGATACAGAACTGAGAAATTAAGGAAAAAATATCTCACAGAGGTAAATACATTTTTATTGTAATTTATGGTAGCATTGGTCTATGGCACATTGGAAACTAACAATATATTGTGTGAATATAGTGTTCACACAAAGATAGTCTGAGAAAAACTGCCTCTGTGGGCTACAAAAGGTTGAAATGTGAGAAATGGGGACAGAGCACAGAACTCTGTTGGGAGGTTTAGATGGGAAAGGGAAGAAAAATAGTGGCTGCTTGTCAGAGAGAAGCATCTCTGTCTCATCTTGCCACAACTAAATTCAGTATGAGCAAGGACAGATGGATTCCTAGAAAACTAGGATGCCAATATTTTCATTCGGTTCCATGCAATTATTTACATAATCATCCTTAGAGAAAACCACCTACGGTTTTATTTACATGGGCATAATGTATGTCGATGGGATACAAAAATACAATCTATCCAAATACATAGGCTAAATAGGTTTTACTTGTAGGCTGTGGATGATCAATTTCAATCAGGACAGCAATATTATGCACTAATTCCATCCCACCATGCACTCTCCCTTCCTGTGTTGGGTGTTATCAGGAGCTAGGCTTGCAAGTGCTGGGCCTGGAAGGGGCCTGTGTTTATCTGTCATTTTAGAAATTGAATATTTTGTTAGAAGAAATATTGACACCACTGAAAATGTAAGTTGCCATTTACTACCTAGTATCACGTGCAGGTTAATTAACAGGACACATGGCCTGAAAGAAGCCAGCAATTTTCCATTTAGCTTTTCCAGATATTAGAACTAGATAGCATCATCAAATAATGCACGTACATTCAGGCAATTTTTAACTTTATGGTTAAGGACGGGGGGGAAAATCACTGCTTCAGAATCTTTCACAATCCACTTATCCAACAGCCATAGATTGCTGGGTCCCAAGGTTCCTGTAAAGGTTATTACATTAACTTTCTATTACTCTAAATGTTGACCTGAATCAATTTATAGCAAGTAGCAACCAATTTTTTTCTTCTTCTTTGCTTCTGTGTAATACGAACTCCATCTCATAGTTGAAACTTGTTAGGCAAATGCACTCATAAAATTTGTCTTTTTTCAGGGTAAAAGCAAAACAAATCAAAAAACTTTATAAGATCCATACCTCCTGTAGCAACTTATCTAATTTGTGCTGTAATTCAAGGAAGTATCGTGAGGTGATGAGACCCTGGTGGGATTTATCCAAACAATCGCGAGCCAGTTCAATAATCTGATGGTGAGTGAAGCTGAGCACTCCATCTGCAAGGGGGAGGACATGGTCTGGAGAGTAGCTGGTGATGATTTCTTTTAGGCGCTCTTCCATCTGAGCTGTAGCCTGTTCACAGAAGACATGCACACACAGACATTATACAAGGAAACACAAATAGGTAAACAGTACAATCATCACATTTATTTAGTATTTTTGGAGACCTCTACAAGTTATCAAATAGAATTCTAGAAATTAAATTTAAAAGAAGACTCACTTCTCCATGATACTATAAAATGCTAAATACATATATGTCATTATACATGTGTCAAAACCCAAAGAATATACAATACAGGAGTGAACCCTAATGTAACCTATGGACTTGGGGTGATTACAATGTGTCAGTGTTGGTTTGTCAATGATAACAAATGGACCACTCTGGGACCAGAGGTGTGTGTAGGGGGATGTTGATAAGAAGGGGTTGTGTATGTATGGGGTCAGGGAGCATTTGGAAACTCTCTGTACTTTCTGTTCAACTTTGCCATGAATCTAAAACTGCATTAAAAATATAAAGTCTATTTGAAAAGAAGAAGAAGCAGCCTCACCAAGTGGAAAAAGAGGTATATACGAGAAACCGAATCTCCCAGGGTGATAATTACTTATTTTCTATGCCCTATCAAATGTAAAATGGTCCATGTAAGCTTCTCCAAATAACTCAGTATCTGTGAATTGCTGTGCTGTCATTTCAAATCTTGGGCTCTTTCAGATAGTTTGCCGAAAATATCAAATACTTGCAGCTCTGTTTTTACCTATTCAAAAATCAGAACTGAAGTTAGAGTTCCTTAGGGTGGGCCAACAGTTTGCTCTCTTGGCTGTATTTTAATGTACCAGGAACAAGCATCTTATACCATCAATACCCTTTCCTCAAAAAGTTACATCTTGGGCAAAAGGTCAAAGGAATTCCCTTGACAACGTAAGTCTAAAATTTCTTTCCCAATTTTTATTTCATTCTCTAGGATCCCGGATTGCCTAATCAATATTCCTTGCTTGCATTTATTGTATATGCTGGGAGATTCTCTCTGCCTACTGTTCCTTTCTAAAATCCTAACCGGTATTAACTAGTAAAGTCAGGATCTGTTTCCCTGGTGAACAAGTGACATGTGATAAATGGCTAAAACGACTGTAATCAATGACATCAATGTTGGGTTCATTACAAATAATAAGTACTCTAGTCCTGATTTATGAAGCTGAGGATTTCCTTTTGCTCTCCTGCCTAGGGTTACAAAGGTGACAAGGGGAGGAACGGGGACAGAATGGAGCGACTGTTTCTCCCAAATGTGTATAAACATGCTGGTGGAAAAGCCATGGAGACTAGGCGATGGGGACTGGCAGAGAGCAGCTCTTTGCAGCCAGGGCAACTGGCATCAACCCGTCTCCAAAGGCTCTCTGGTTCAGTCCAAATTCTACTGGCCCGTCCAACGGGGAACACTGCAACTGGACTTTCCTTCTGAATAAAGAGAATTAGACTTATAATTGCTAAAGAGACTGGAAGCCACAGAAAAGAAAAATTAGGTGAGAAAAGTAAAAGACTTTTGTGACTTACACCCATTCACAGGCTTCTGAGGAAGCGGGACAGTCTCTGCTGGACCAAGCAGCAGGCCCAGGATGGGCAGAAGGAGCCCCAGAGCCTAGCGGCCTTTCAAAGCAGATGCTCCCGGAGCATCTCCCAGCACGCTCACATCCAACCCGTCACAGTGGGCAGGTGAACCAATGGGATTTACTTTACAGCCATTCCAGTCCACAGAATGTGTGGCTGATTCTCAGCAGCTTTTAAAAGGGCTTAGTGATTTTATCTTTCTAAAGAAGGCTACAGTGCTATTTTATGCGAGTCATGACTGGACTGGACCATTACTTCCCTCGACAAAACCACCTTACAGACGCTAAACCTATGTTGCCTGTTTGTTTAGATGCTAGACATCTTCAGTTCAATTCATTACCTTTGGGAACCTTTCTTTGTAGACATGGTTCATCATAATTATTTCATGGTCACAGCAGGCGGGAGAACGTCCAGGGCTGCAAGCAAAGCAAATTACCCTTTTAAACTTGCCACAGCATGAAATGAAAATAAGACTTTTATTTATAAACAATGGGTTGCAACAAAAGTACTATGTAGCCTTTGTAAGAAAAGTATATTAGGTAATAAACTACAAAATCAGTCATCAGTGCGTGCACACACACACATACTCACAAACACAGAGAAACCCTGAATATGATTCAAAAAGAAAGCCCCAGAAGTAGAATGCTGAAAATTAACTATAGGTACAATATAAAAGTTCATAAAACATTCTTAAATTGCAGTTACATTTTGTATGTAGCATGTACTTGTGTGGTTCCAGAAACCAGTGAATGAACTGGGATATAAAAGAGTACAAACAGCAAAGTCCAGGGCACGCTGCAGTGTCAATTTCACACTTTTACCATACATCTGCTCTCTGCCACGTGCCACTGAGGAGATTTAAGAGTTTCCCACAGCACAGGTGTCACCACCGAAATCCATTTTCTAGCTGGGATGGGGATGCTGGGGTAGGCACCGTGTGCAGGATGAAACAGAGGCACACAACTCTGAGGTTTTTTTAATTTCAATTGTAGACTCCCACTCCTTCCTAGTGGTAACAGGGTTGGGCAACTGCAGTGTGACTTTATGCATTCCTGAGACGATACAGCTGCTTGCGCTGGCTATCCTGTGAACTCCTTTCATGATACAAAAAAGTGGCACCCATGTGGTAAAATACAATGGCTCTAAATGAATTCATAACATTTTATTCCATATCTCAAAATACTCTAACATGATTACACCACATGACTATGTTTACTATATGGCACTAACAAGGTACAAAGGACAAAAGAAAAAAAAAAACCCTTCTCAGCAAACTCTGATGTTCAACTGAACACCTGACAAACTATGTTTTAAAATAAACCTTCCTATCAAAGCAGGCCAGTTCTATATACCATGGAGATCTCCTATTCTGGAGGGCCCAGGATGGACTACCCTGCTCCTCCTGCAGAGAAGGACCTGTTGTCCCAGCTGCTGGGGCTGTAGCAGCCTTCAGCAGTCAGGCCCCTTGGATGTGGCCTCAGATGCAGAGTCCCCTCAGGCATCCCCGGAGGCTCCGTGGTAAAGAATCCACCTGCAAGGCAGGAGCCGTGGCAGACAGGTTCGATCCCTGGGTTGGGAAGGTCTCCCAAAGAAGGGAATGGCTACCCACTCCAGTATTCTTACCTGGAGAATTCCATGGACAGAGAAGCCTAGTGGGCTACAGTCCATGGGGTTGCAAAGAGTCAGACACCGCTGAAGCAACCTGGCATGCATGCAGAGCACCCTCACCCAAGGCCAAGTCCTTCCCAGAGTACCACATCCCAGGACTGAGTGGAGATGGAAAGGAAGGGTCACTTGGTCCAGAGGGACAGCTCTGATGGGTCATTTCATCCCCAGAACTCCCTACGGGGTTGGTTGTGGCTGCCAGGCCTGCATAGCGGCTGGAGTCCTCTTCTGCTCAAGACCACTACCCACTCCTTCACCCGGGCAGGTGTAATTCCCAAGCACTCCTTAATAAACATCGTCATCTCTCTGTCAGAGTCACTCTCAGAGGAACCAAACAGTGATGTCTATTTTTTTGTGAGACAAGGCCAAAATAAAACCAGCCCTACTCAATGTCAAATGGACTACATTTGACATTGACAAAATACAAGGGACACAAGCTCCTAATGGCTCACTCATAATCCTGGAGAAATTAAGACTTGTGATGAGAAGGAAAAAATCCAAGACCTGGGTGGATTTTCATAAAAAGGAATCTGATGACCAAATGTGAACCTCAACACGCTGCCCTTCCCTTTTAGCCAAGCTTCTTTGCAAAATATTAATTGATGTAGCACCATAATTTGATAGTCTTGAAATTTCCAACTAGAAGTTTCTCGGGTGGTCCTTGTAGTTCACTATGGTTTCTTTTACCACAGCAATTATCAACTTGTAAAAACTTAAATGAAAAACAGTAAGAGGCCTTTCAGTGGTAATTTACTGTATCATGCATAGATGCAAAAAAAAAAAAATCACACTACATTTATAGTAGTTCATAAACCAATTAACACATACATGAATTAGAGGACCCAAAGTCTTTCCCTGAAATGGTTGAAAAGAGGTTATCCAACTAATAAAAACCTACATACCTCAAACTTCGGGAACGGGGGCGCATGGGTGTGTTCCTGCATCTGTTCTCTGTGGTGATGCTTTCGGTGGTACAAAAATGTTTTGATAAGAAGTGTAATTCATCAGGTGTCGGTTGATATGGTAACTGATGCAACTTCTCCTGGGAGGAACAGGATGACTACAACAAACCAAAGTGAGGTTTAATGACTATCTCAAAAAGAAATGCTTTAAATGAATATTAGGTCACAGCACTAAATTTTGTTATATAACAATTTTATACTGAGTCTTTTCCATGTTATAATTACATTAGCTAGTGCCTAAATGTATACCTTGATGTGGTCTCTAGAGGTCTAGATGGCTACCGTGTTTTATCTCATTTGTCTACAATTTCCTCAAATATAGTTTACTCTCTGAAGAAAACCCAGGGTCTGAAAACAGATGGGACCCAGTCAAAGCCAGAGCAAGAAAGTGACAACTGCAGTGAGAATTTGGGAGCAATAAATGACGTATTAGTTCTCATCTGAGTGTGACATCCTCACTTCTAACACTTGCTATTCGGGTAAGTAACATAAAATTAATTCTACGATGTATAATCATAAATGAACTCTATGATGTATAATCATAAATAAAGTAATAAGGTAATGAGATCTGTCTTTACAAAGCATGCTGCCCTTTGATGTGATTATCATCAATATGAGTCCTGGATAAAAAGGGGATGGGAAAAGAAAATACTTGTCTCACTTATGCCATTGTTTTAAAAACTGGGAATTGGAAATTTTTTCTGTGTTCTCAGGCTTAATGCTATTTTTTTTTTTTTAGACAGCTTCAGTGGTGTTGCGTTTTTTAATCTCTTAAATCTAGATGTGCTCTTTGAAAATCACTCAGCACTTAGAGCAAAGTAAGGTAGAAAAGGTGAATGGCTAAACAACACTGCTTTTAATCAACCTGAGAAATATAACTATTAAACAATGTGATTGCTTTTTTGTTTGTTTTTATTGAGAGGTAAACTCTTCAAGTAATTCTAACAAAAGAAATGAGAAATGTTTGAGTAATGGAAACACAGGTAGAATAAGCATATTTTGAAAAATACCACTCATTTGAATATTCCATTCGAGCAGGTGTTTTTTTAATTAAAAAAACTGCCACATCAAGAGCATACTTCATAAACACTGCAACACTACACTGCAGTAGTTAGAAATTAATAGACTAAAGCTTTAAAATATCCTTATACCTTGAAATTATAAAATACTTCCTAAGTACATACAAAGATAAAGAGGACTTTTTACAATGTAATGAGGTTATTTTATAAACTATAAAAATGAGAACACTACTAGAAAGACTTCTGAGGTAAACCAAAGGTCTAGTCACAAAACACAAGTAGTTTTAAATACTGTCACAATGAAAAAAGAAACAAAACACCCAAAGTCAACTCAAGAAATCAGTAAAAGAATAAGAAAAGCCATGCCATCAGGAGAGAAGCCGCAGCCATAAAAGCAAAGACGACGAAATCAGCAAACAGAAAACCCGAGTTAAGACTCTGTACATATGTCTCAAAGGTAAATCAACGTGCACAGTCCTGTAGCCAAGATCCAAAAACCCAGATGTCTATTCGTAAATTCCCAGTAATAACTTTATGGAGGCAAGCCATCAGATGCACTGATGGAGAGCCATTTAAAATATGCATTTAATCCACTTGATGTGAATGCTAATTCAGCTTTGCCATAGAAACATTAATGTATCTGATTCTGAGTTGCTGGGCTGTTGTGTACAGTCCAGGGAGGATCATGTTAACTTTGTAAAATGTGAACATTAATTCCAGAACCACACCAGACTTAAGAGTTTCACATAAGGCATTATGAACCAGCGTTTGCATGAGGACACAAGTGACTTTAGGGAGTGAATCCCTCTGAGGAGGGGGGAAGAGAAAACGACTGTGCAGGAAGGGCTTTATTTCTACTTTAATATTTTATTTATTTATCAAAATAAAAGTTTATGTCAAAAATAGCTGCAGCAAATGTAAGAAAATGGTCACAGGTGCTAACTCCAACAGAAAATTTTGTGGTTATACCATATACATAACCATGTGGCTGAACTCCACAGCAATGTGCCCGGGGCTTCCTGATGGGGATATGTTAGAATGAAGGATGAGGTGGGAAAAGTGTTAGAGAAGTGAGAGGCAAAGGGCTTCTCTGGGGAGACAGCATCTCTCCTCTCAGTTGGGACAGACAAGGTGTCAATGGGAAAAGGGTGACACTATCCCAGTGACAGCGGATGAGTTTATGGAACAGGAAGCAACTGGAGGCTCTCCAAACAGCCTGGGAACTCAAAAGTATCAAACAGGGCCCCCCAGAGTGAGCACTAATGGACACCAGAGGGTCAGCCCAGGAGTCCGTTCCAGCAAAGATCAGGGACTCGGAGAACTAGTGACAGGCTGCAGGCGCTGTCCCTAGGACCTCACAAGCTCACTGAAAAGATACCTCTGCTGGTCAGTACATCCTTGGAACAGCATTCACTAGAGTTTCAAGAATTAGTTTGGAATTCCTCAATAAATTAAGACCCATGACTTTATGTTTCTAGCATGCTTTCTAAACGTGGTGCCAGTAAGTCTCATCACCCAACTAGTTGGCATATATAACTTCTGACTACATCATAAATCAAATCCACTTTCAAAGAGTGAAGGTTTACAAAAAGAACTGTGCTTCTAGTTCTCAAGGCACTTAGAAGAGTTTCCCCCAAATGTTATGAGTAATGGTATCATTCAAATAAACTAGTTTCCCAAGACAAGCATTTTGTAAAGGACAATATTCATATGTATGTACAGTTTTCCACTCAAAGTAATGTTATTTTATAGTCAGACCTCATATTTATAAGTATTTATATTCTTATTTTTACTCTTTCCCCCAGAAAATAATTTATCTGTAAGAAATATATGGGAGATATCTTCTGACTGCTATAATTCCATATTACTTATCTTAAAATTAAAAATTATAATCTGAATATTACCTTGGAAAAGTTTCTCAAATTAATTTTAACTACAAAACTTGAAATTAAGAGAAGCAGCAATACTAAATATTCTGAGGAAGAACTGATTAACTTCATATGACCAAATCTTTTCAATTTCAGAATGAAGCATTTTAACCCTTGGGAATTTTGCAGTTTCTATAATACCCAAAGGATGTGGTATTTACATTTCAGCATTAGCAACTCTGGAACTCAGCTAACAACAAATGTCGGTAAAACTTAAGCTGTATTTTCAAAGTGTTTGTGATTTTATCTGTATGTATTCTGTATTTTTATTAAAAAAAATAACCAAAATCATTTCTAATTAACTTAATCACAACCAGTTAACCCAGAAAATGAGACTGTAAAAGTGATTCAGGTTAGACTTAGAAAAGAAAAAAATGCAACTCCTGAGCAGCTTTGCATAATTTTTTGTCCTAACATTTAAAGGGCAAGAAGATAAAGAAGCTGAGGAAAATGAGAAGCAGCATTTCAAATTTTCAATTATCATTTTTATCAATAGCCAATAAGGAGAAAAAAATAACTGAACTTGTTAGAGCACCTACATTCCAAAAATCTAACAGTTCCTTATGTCTTTTGGTAAAGACAGTCATTTTGAAAGTTACAATTTGATTTTGAAGGGGAAAAGAGGAATATGAGATCCACAATTATATGATACCACCTTCTCCAATAAAATAAACACCTAAGAGAAAAGCTGCCTTACCTCTGGGTAGAAGCTGTTAGAAACACATAACACCTGTGTGTGACTAAAAATTGTCTCAGAAAGCTTCCTCTTCAGGCATATACATAAGTCAGGGACAGCAATGACATCATGACAGATGGTCAGGTCAGATTTATTAATTATCAAGTTTGGTTTAAGCAATACCTTGTGAATTCCTTTTTTAAAAAGTCAAGTGCCCGGGGTTGAGAAACTTACTGTATTCTTGTTGCTACACACAGGGGTTAGTAAACAGCCCCTCAGTTCATTCTCTGTGCCTCAGAGCTTTGAGCCATAAAATGACGAAAACAATGGCAACTACATTATAAAGTATGTTTTTACAAATAAATGAGACATTAAACAAGTCAATTAAATTTTACAATTTATATTTTTTTCATTTTTTTCAAATTTTTCATTTACAATAAGCCAGTGCATTGTAAGTAGTGAGACTAGTACCTAGCACATAAAATGTGTTTATAAAGATATTTCTAAAGTACTTTGTACCAAATGGGGTCCACTTCTATGTAGCTCACCCTTGCTTTTTAGATTCACTTTTAAAAATGACATATGATCTCCTAGCTAGAGACAGAAAGAAGGAAGATCCTGCATCCTCCCCTGTTTTTCTTGCCAAAGAGAAACTTCTATATCCAAACTATAATAAGACTTGACTGCAGGACAAAGCAAGGTGATATAGTTAAAATAAAAAGGATTTGAAGTCAAGAAAGAAGATATAAATTTTGGGCATGGGGAGGATTTCAATGAGAGTATGTATGAGAATGGGACAAGTACTCTGTTTACTGGTGGTTGGATTCTAACTAGAGATGCTCACAAGTCTAGGGAAGAATTCCACTTAAAATCCTTATTCTTTTTTGCTTTCTGGTCAATCAGTTTCAACAATCATTTTCACACTGTGGTAGCCAATGCTTTCAAGATCTAAAACATGGGCTAATAATAAACAATGATGCTTACTGACAAAAAACAAGGGTGGCTTTGTTTACCATTCTTTAGTGACAATTCTATCCACTGAAGCCATTCAAGAGTTTTGAATATCCTTTTCTGGATGTGAGACTAAAGTGCCACTGAAACTATTCAGGATTGTCAGGATGTTTCACAAAAATGATCTAAATGGACAATAAACTCACATACCACAACCCAATGGAATAGTGGACAAGAAAATAAATTACTGCTCCTCAATAAAATGTTATAAGAAGATGGTAAAAATAATCCAACAGATTTTAACAGGCCAGTGTTTTGCTCTAGAAAACCCATGTTACATTGCATCTGGAACTCTGGAACTATAAAATATAAGGCACTGGTGATATCAATTAAAGTTTATACATTTAATCACAGTTTCTTTTCAATTCACTGACATTAAGTGTGAACCTATATGCTTAGCACAGTGCTGGGGTTTATGGGGCGGGGGGGGGGGGGGGGGAGATAGATATCCCTTTGCGATAAACCACAGATTTTGACAAAATGGAGACGGGAATGGCTCAGAAGCGGCTCTAAAACCAGGTTCACAGTCCTGGCTTGTACAGGAGCTTTCAGACTGCTCCATTACGTATTTATTGATTGACCTACACCATATCCTAGGTCCTTCTAAATGACCACCAGCTTCTAAATCTCTGTAGAAGCTCTGTAGAAGGGGAGGGAGGAGGGGAGGGATGGATAGGGAGTCTGGGGTTTAGCAGATGCAAACTATTATATAAAGAATGGATAAACAACAAGGTCCTACTGTATAGCACAGGGAACTGTATTCAGTATCCTGGAATAAATCATAATGGAAAAGAATATAATAAAGAATGCTTATATGTGTATGTGTATAACTGAATCACTTTGCCACACAGAAGAAATTAACACAATATTGTAAATCAACTATACTTCAATAAAAAAAAGTAAAGTAAAAAAATAAAGCTCTGTAGAGACAAATATCCCACAATATCACTAATTTAAATGGAGAAGGCATGTATCTAAGCCACTGAATCACTTTCAGTAATTGATAGGGCTCTTGTTGAAATGTTGTAGTTTGCAGCAACAGTGTTCTTCTTCTATCGTATTTCCATGGCTTCATCTTGTCTCTGCATTGATCTTAACTTACTGCTAAGTTCTTTTAATCTCTCCTTAAAAGAAGTTTTTATCCAGAAGGTACAAATTTAAGGCTTGCCATTCTTTTTCTTTGAAAGATAAAAACTAAAAAACAAAACAGAACTCTACATCTAAGCCATACAAGAAAAGAACGACCCAGTCCATCAAAGTTTAATGGCATTTTCAGTACTAATATCACTGGCATGGAACCAAAGCAATAAAACCAGATTGTGTTCCCTCCCCTACCCCCAAACACCAAATGGTATTAAAACAAAAGCTCCCAGTCTCCTCCCAACTTGTGATCTGGGGACTCGCTCAATTTGTGCACCATAATTTAAAAGCTTGCAGCAAAGAGTATGTCTTTTTTGTGTTTGTCAGCTCATCATTTGATGTGAAGCCTACTCGGAGGGACAGACATACAGAATTCATCCTCTCCTCCCTATCAGGGAACACCCAGAGAAAGTGCTGCCCATGCAAGAGCTCTAGGGTGTACAAGAGAAAAATTGGGCACTTACAGAGACCGTAGAGCTGGGAGTGTTTGTCCCATAGCCAGAGGAGGGGAGGGAAGCCAAGGACCAGCGGCGTCCATCAGTCCTGGGGAGAAAGTGCGATTAGCTTAGGCCCACACTGGAGGAAGGTTACATGGGAACCCCAGGGAAGCCGAGTATTCTTTGTCGAGCAAATGACACAAACACAGTCAGTGAGGGTGTGGAAATGTTCAGCAAGGGCCAGAGTAAACAAACATTATACAGCAGGTTGACTTTTATTTAAACTGAATCAATACACCCAAACAAGTAGAAAGTGAATGGGTTGATCCATATTATTGATCTCTCACTAATACACTTTGACAAAATGAATACCAGGGATAATTACATTGGTCGGACTCAGCAGATTCAGATGAATAAAAATAGAAAGGCAGGAGGAAAAACACTCCTATGTGGAAACTGAACACTGGGGCCACGATCTTTGGAAGGGCCTGAATGCCAGCATGGTATGAGAGCCTCTGGGGACTTCCACCACATCCTAAAGACTTTCAGCTTATTACTTTCAAGAGAACAATCCTACTCATCACACCAAAGGAAGGGAGGATCAGGGGGCTCGCGGCCAGCTCAAGCCTTAAGTGGCAAATGACTTTAGCACTAAGAAAGTGACTGACCTTGTGCTCAGAATCTCTTAAGAGTTATTACCTTCTGACATGACCTGGCTTTATAAAGTGTTCCAGCAAATGCCTCTTTCTGAGTTTATGAGTGTGCGGCCCAGCTCTGGCCAGTGACAGGGAGCAAAGAAAGAATATTCTCCACTGGTGACAGAAGCTAATGCAGAGTAGAATGACCTGCACTAGTCACAGAGGTGAAGCTGTCAGGAGTCTTAATAGAATATGGTTTTTATCTCCAAATGGCAACAGGATGGATAGCTTCTGGGTTGAACTCTATAATTGGGATCATTACAAGGGTCTCAGATGAGTTGTCAAAGCAGTGAAGACAATCCTGTTGCTAAAGTAGGATTATTTTATTAACGATAATAAAATAACTATTTTATTAGCAATTTTGAATAGGACTATGCCTTCAAAATCACATAACATGGTGAAGACAAATATACACATATTTGCCATGGGGAGAAAAGGAAAAACATACTTTTCTAAAGAGTTATACTGCATTCTTTGACCATATGTAGCCTTTTTGTAACTCATGATTTATATTAATTTACCAAGTGAGAGATAAGAGTAGACCAAATTGACCACACATTCACTATAAGGGGACATCAGGGAATTCCTCAGAATTTGACTTGAATTTGAGAAATGTCACAATCGCATGTTTATGTAGAAAAATGACATCTTAGCCTAAATTATAATCAAGGGAGAATATAATCATATGCCACCATGGATGTTATTTTTACCTCCAATAAATGCAAATGGTCCACAAAGACAAAATGAGAAATTCAAGTGGACAAATCACAGAAGTAGTACAATGTTAAGATTTTAGTAAAATTTACCTGTCAATTCTGTGACCATGATTGGAGTACAACTGAATCAAGTATTTTTTTTTAAAAAAAAAAGAAGCAAATTAAGATGCTTGTAAATGTATCAGATAAAAGGAATGAAAAGAAATGCCACAAGTTCTCTAGAAATAATTTTATACAATTTAAAATGTTAAAAGATTTAAGACGAAACTAATTCTAATAACATGTTTCCAAAGACAACTGAGCATCAATTAAATGGACACAGGTTGGTTCTGGCTTATTTGGCTAATTATTACAGACTTAAGAACCCATTCCTGGACTCTCTATTTTAAACACTTCCAATTTTTAAAAGAATATGGTTTTCAAAGAATTATTTAGTCCATTTAATAGCAATTATCAGAAACTAGTCTTTGGAAAGAGTGAGGGACACAATTTCTCCCACCATGATTCTGCTTTGTGATTCATTAACTCTCCTTTCCCTCAGGTATCAATGAACATATTTCAGATGAATGAACAACTCCAAGAGGAGACATGTTCTTATTAGTTCTGAAGCATAAATTAACATTTGCTTACTTTGGAAAACACATGACTAGAAAGATGTTTAAACAAGAATGTGCTTAGTACTTTGTACAGCCATGGACCAGAAGTAATTTATGTCTCATAAAGTTCCCTATGTTGTCTGTGTCTATTTATTCAAATGGAATACAAAGGACCACTGCATTTTCATTACCATGACAACTGCATATGAGAACTTCCTATATATGCTATATACGTGCTCTAAGAGATAGCATGCCCTTTTTTGAAGAAAGCTATCACACAAGTACAATTTGGATGCTACTAATAACGTTCTCTTTTCTTTGTAGCAGCTACCAGTAAAATGTTACCTGAAAACAAAACTACATTCTTGCCAAAGCCACAAGGCTTTTTTTGAAGAGTGTTTCCTTTGTGGGTGGAAATTTCAATGTTATACTAAATGAAAAAGTAACACGAGAAAAACATCTGATGGGAACACAGGCTACAAAGTAACTAGCAAAAACAACAACAACAAAAGCAAACAAACAAAAACAACCCGCTGAAAATCTGCCCCTCCCTGCCAAACCTCCATCATTTCAATACTAGCCACAAAAAGTTAGATTATGATGGTGTATGACAAAGGAAGAAAGAAAAGTTCCAGTATCAACCTGGCTATTATGACTGTATAAAGAGGAAGCAGATTTCATGATTTGTTTGTTGTACTCATCTGGCATGATACATTTTATGGTCTAGTTGATACTGGAACAAGATGAACTATGCCAATATAATGTAACCAGAGTAACTTCAGCCCACCTGTGCTCAGTAAGCGTCTCATGACTTGACCTCAGTAGGCAAATCTGTTCCAGTAATTTGTCTATGGAAATACATTCTGATATTTCACCTGATAAATAACACCTAGGCAGCCAGGAGACATCCCCAGCATTTATTCAGGGCTCTCTTAGTATTTCTGATGAAAGTGAAAGCAATGTAAAAATCTACACAACTTCTAGGGAAGGCAGACCAATGTCATCACTTCCATTTTACCACCAAGGAAGACAACATTAAATAACTCCACAAGCAGGTGGATTGTAAATCAGTATCCCAGTTACTGGTTTCGTGTGCTGCAGTCAGTCAATGGGGTCACAAAGAGTCTGACACGACAGCAACTGAATAACAACAATCACAGCTACTAGCAAAATAAAAATAAGTTTCCTTGTTCCAGACAAAATCTACTACACTATGACATGCATTTTCATCCTAGTATTTTAATCCAATACTAAAAAAATTTACTTGATAATTTCACTCTCAGACACATATTAGATAGTATGGAAAGCAAGTGTGTGTTGTCTTACTTCCCAGACTTAACTGCAACTAGTACATTACCAGGAGATGAATACTGAGGGGAAATTCTCACATGATATAAGTAGGGTCAGAAAAGATTAATAAGTCAGACCTTTATCCCTTTACGCAAGAATAATTTTTAAAACAGGGCAATCTCTTCCATCTGTTGGACTGAATATACAAAATAATAAAATTTGGGACTCCCAAAATGGCATTACTTCCTAAGGTCTCAGAAATGCATACCAAATGGTAGGGAATGGAGACCCATGAGTGGAATTTCCATGTTTCTTGAATGAAAAATCAACTTTAAAATGGAAGAGAAAGATGCCAGATGTTAAAAATAGGCCAATTTGAGTTTTCATAGCAAACACAGGTTCTGTTTACTTGAATAAAAGTTTAAAAAGATGATCACTCATGTCCTAATCTAAATTAATACTTTTTGAAGACTGTGTAGTGAGTTCCATCTGGAAATTCCTGCAAAATGAACCAGAGGTCTCCTGTGATAATTTTCTGTTACGGTTTATGGCTTATTTGTCAAAAATTAACATGCCTGGGGGTTTGTGTATTTTTTTTTTTTTATATATAACACAGAAACCAGAGTCATCTGTCCTCTAGTCAGCCACTTAATTATTAGGTTCTCTTCATTTTAATAAATCTGGCAGGATTAAAAGACTGATTTTGGTCACTTTTAAAAACAGGCTATGAGATGGGCATTTTCTTTTTACTTGAAGTAATTAAATACATTCCACCACCACCCCCCCTTTTTTTTTCAAAGAAACATATTTTAAGGACTATGCTGTGTTCTTTTTTAAACCCATTTTTATAGGATTTCCCTTTTCATTTAGAATAGTAGCACCATCGTGAATTAATATTCAGTGGACAAACAAACACAGGCTTTGTGGAACCAATTAACTGTCACATTTTCTTTACATTGCTTACAGGCTGTAAGAGGACTAAAAGAATCAAAGTTGGTGTTCATTGGGGAAAACCAGGGTGTGGGTCTCAGAAAGTTCCTTGGAGATCACATCTCAATTACTTTTTGTCCTCCCTATGGGGAAGGCCTGGTACACATAGGCATTTACCATATGGTGGGAAATGTGTGATTTGACAAGAGAATCTTAATGATCAGGAATTGAGAATATACTGTAAGCAGATCCTTTCCTCTGGACCTAGTAACAAAACACATTTCATGTTGACAAATGGCAATGATGACACTGCAGGTTTGCACATAATGTGTCAAATCTACTTTTTAACCTACCTGTATGTCTTAATTAAATGTTACTTTAATTTATTTCAAGGTATGATTAGCTCTCTGAAGAAAATTTAATAAATATGCAGGGCATTTGGACCAGAAAAGCAATTCATTCTGAATATTCAGAAACCTGGCTAAAAGGGGCAATTTTGTCTTCTGTGTGTTTTCCCTGGCTGGAAGAGGAATGGAGGAAAGTGAAGGTTTGAATGTGACAGGGGAAGCCCACTAATTTCACACACAGAAGTGCAGACATCTCTGACTGGGAGAGATCACAGTAGGTGACCCCAAAATAAAAGCTTTGATAACAGATCGTATGCCCACTATCCTCCGAGCAACCATACTTTCTCGTGACTCACCGACCCAGATATGAGACATATAGTCTTGATACTTGATGTCCAATTCTAACTAAGGAAGGAAGAGAAAACACTCAGGGAGGTCACTAAATTGCTGGCTTGGTGCTCTCAAGGAAAGAGGCATCTTAATGGTTTATACCTTGTGATCCCAAGGAAGGTCATTTTTATTTATTTATTTATTTTTTAGTATTTCAGTAACAACAACAACTGCACCAGGACACGTGGATGAATGAAGTCCTTATAATATAAGCTCATATAAGTCAGTAAAAATCTGTTGAGCATCAAAAGCATGTATGAGACACTATACTAGGGATGGGAGAAAAGGTGAAATTGTTTTTTTTTTTTCTGCCCTTAGTGGGAGCCCACCATCTAGGGAAGGAGCAAAGGAGGCATCTATAACTCTAGCGGGCAGTGGAGGAACTGGGGCAGAAGGGAAGGTTTCTCCACATAACACTTTATCATCCTACACAAAAAAAGTTCTTACCTCCGTGCAAATGAAAAATGGGCAGAGGCACTGGGGGAGAAATTTCTTGGACTATCTTGAGGGCTATTTCCTGTAGAGAGAAAGAAGGAAAAAAAAATGACATTAAGATTTTATTCTTGTATCATTAGCTACATCCAGAACACTCATCTTTTTAGTAGTAAGCTTCTGTACATCTTTGTAAAATGTCCATCTCCTCAAAAAATGCTTTAGTTTTATTTGGAGCAGAGGAAGGGATTGGCTTGAGTTCCAGCACAATTTTCCAAGGGTGTAATATATGAATAAACAAAGCCATGTCACCAACCAGCAGACTTTCATATATTTCATAATATATTTCAGTCCCACAGAATAATGAATACATACATATGTCTTGGTTCCTGCTTTTCCAGATGTTAACATTTCCACAGTAGGATAGAGAAGATAAGCTTCAATTGGTAGGGTGAGGCTTTCCATTTTAGGAAGGCAGCCTTAGTATTTTTATTTACCGAAACAGAATAAAAGTCTGAGTTCTCAATAAATCCTCATTCTTCAAAGCACACATTTTAAAGGCAGAAATGTCAGAACAGGGCATAAAATACTAGGTAGAACCCCAGCAGTTCAGACCTCAAATGACCCAGCCTAGAGGCCCAGAAGTATCTTCTTCAATAGTCCCTCTGCTCCTAGGCAGCTGAGGGGGTGACTGGCCAGGCTGCCTGAAAAGCCACAGCCACACAGCGGCTCACAGAAGGCGTCTTCCCCAAGTTCTTACATGGTGGGTGGAACACGGATGCTTCTGTACGGTGACAGCTCGTCTGGAGGCTTGCTACTTTCCCCATCAGAACATGCAACCTGTTGCTGATCATGGGGCAAGCTTGGCAGGCAGTGGGTGAGGGGAGGCCCCAGGCTGGCCAGAGCACCCTGCTTCCCTCTGCAGGGTTCATTAGGTTGGCAGAATGGCCTGAGGACTGGATGGGACTGTAGGAGGTTAGGAAAGGCTGCAAACAAATGCTGCGAGTTCTTGAAACACAGAAAATAATTCAAGACATGTTTAATCTTAACCAGAAGCCAGTGTGCCATGTTGCTGATCTCACACCAGAAGTGACAATCTGTAATTAGGTGGAAGGGACACAGAATAGCACCTAGCCACAAAGGTAAACAATTTACTACCTGTGTGCAAAAAGGACTGATTGACACATTGAAGGGGATAAGTTCAGTGTTACCTTTACTTCTGGACTGGCTGTGCCTCTACTGAAATTTTTCAGTTAACTTGAAGTTGCAGATTTTGCAGTGATGGCATCAACAGATGCCATTAAGTTTATGACAGACAGCACAATTAAAGCCATTTAACTGGGAAGTGCTGAAAAGCCCCTTTCTTTATGGATAGAGAATCAAGAAGCATTTTCCCCCTGCTGCAATGAAATTTATCATGCCTTTGCATCTGTTGTTTCTTGGGCCTCTAGAGAAACGGATTGTGCTTTTGCCATCCGGTAATCCAGGACCCTTTCTGTCCTTTATCTACACAGCTAAATTAAGTTCTTTGAACTTCTTCCAATAGCCTTCATTCCCCCACTCCCTCCCCTGTTAGTTTGTGCATTGCTCTTCATATTTCTTAAAAGGTCTTGATTTCAAGATGGCTAGAAATCTTGTTTCTAAAGGGAAACAGGTGAAATGCCAGAAATCTCTGGGTTGATTTTAATTTTATTTGGGGAAAAAAAAATTTGCTTTGCTCACATCCCCCACAGAGCAAACTATCAGTAACTTATGAGAAACAAACAGTTGATTGAAGCCAAGGCATTTTGAGAACAATCCCTACTACTCTAACCACTGAGAATAAATAATAAGGCCAATAAAACTTGGCACCAAATTCTTAGCCCTGTGTTCTTTGTAAAGAGAACATTATATCTGGAGATTATATGAGATCAACCAGAACAAGTAGAGGGAGTTTATTAAATATTTTGAAGAATCTGAAGGAGGCAGAAACAGGAATTATCTTAAGAACCTTTTCACTTTTAGAGATTTTAACAAATGGCCCCCCAGGAAACCATGTGACATCTTACAATACATGGTGGCCCATCACACTGAGGATGAATGGGCAGAGACAGAGATATAGAGGTAGGTTAATTTAACTCTGCTCTTTAAGAAAACAAGACAAAAAATCAGCGCTACCCTTAACCATTTCTTATCTTGGGTTTTGCCTTCTCATTCTGTGTGGTCTTTCCAGGCCCATACACTGAAAAGATTCCTCAACTCTAAGTTATATAGCCATTTGTACTATCCTACTAATCACAGATTTTTCTTCTTGTTTCTAGTCACATTGAGGAGCTAGTTGAGACAGAAATACACACATCCCACATTATCACAAAGGCCCTTAAGTACAGTGGGCTATTGGAGAAAACGAAGGCAGTATGAACTAGAATACTTGGTCATTCCTTAAGGACAAGAGACTGAAGCTTAATTTGAGGGCAGATCAGCAAGCTCAGGATAGGAGAAGGAATGGAAGGACTTCAGGAAGGGGACAGAATCAATACAAACACAGTTAGGTGATGCAGTAGAGAGACAGACTCTCTAGTACCAGGGAATTCAGACTGGTCAAGTCAATGAGTTGTGAACGACATGGTTTGGTACTACCTAGTGGAAGGCTTAAGAGAAATCTGAACGCAAGAGAGGCACTCGATATTTTCACCTGGTGTGAGTATGTTGAGTGGACAGGCGAGTCGCCAAGGAGAAGGAGCTGGATTAGGATGCGGAAAGCCAACAGAACGTGTGTTCTGGTGAGCAAACCAAGGGTAACTGGTGATGGATCAAAAATAAGTGATGCAAAAGATTACAGACTAACTGGTACTTCCAAGGTTAGCAGGCTGGGAGGATGGCTGCTCCACTAACAGGGAACTTTCAGAGAGAACTGGGGCAGTAGTAATAGTAGAGGAAAAGGATAGAGTATTCTAGAGTTTTTTGTGTCATTCGTTACAGAAAACTCCTCAATTTTCCTCATGGAGAAATTACAAGATGAGTAGACTGCTACTGCTAAGTCACTTCAGTCGTGTCCGACTCTGTGCGACCCCATCCCTGGGATTCTCCAGGCAAGAACACTGGAGTGGGTTGCCATTTCTTTCTCCAATGCATAAAAGTGAAAAGTGAAAGTGAAGTCGCTCAGTCATGTCTGACTCTTCGAGACCCCAAGGACTGCAGCCTACCAGGCTCCTCCGTCCATGGGATTTTCCAGGCAAGAGTACTGGAGTGGGGTGCCACTGCCTTCTCCGATGAGTAGATTAGATAGGCACAAATCAATCTTTGAGGCCTTTGTTCTTCTTTGAGACAAACATTGATTTGTGTGTTATGTTTGAAGACTTAGGGACACTGTTCTGTGATACACAACAACACTAATTTAGAACAGATTGAAATATAAAGCGCACTTTATACATTCTTCACTTGGAGGTGAGGACCAGACTGCTGTGGGCACTCGTAGTACTTTCCCAGGACAAGAAAACAAGATGGAGTGAAACCAGAGTCCTACACTTGACCTTCACCACGCACAGTCCTGCTCTCTGAAATCATCCACCCATCTGCAAAGCAATACCTGAGAGGCTCTCGAATGAAAACCAGTGCCAGTTAATTCTCTGCCCATATGTGCAGCACTTGCTTATAACCCAAACCCTGCTGTTTGAAGGGATTTGCTGGCTCTTGGATGTTTGAGTGCCAGGACACTTTATAGACTGCTGCTTCTGGCCTGGTGAAGGAAACCTTAGTGGTGGGTGGGCAGGCGCTGGAGAGGTAATTAACTCCGTGATTCCCAGGGGGAACTGGCGTGGCGAACACACAGGCACTACATCAAAACAGTACTTACCTAACGGAGCTACACAGGGTGCCTCATTTTGGAGGCAGTTATTGTTAAGAAAGTGATTTCCAGATTAATTAAATTGTTTGATTGCTTTGTAATTAGGTTGGAGAAGTCCTCCATCTTCACCGCAGAGAAACAGGCTGCAAATCTTTTTAAAAGGCATATGCTATACCCACTATAGATTATTAATGTGCTTTTAATAGCTGTCTGTTTACAAAATGATAGTTTCTGGTTGCCTTGATTTTCTATCAGGACTGAGGGAATCCAAGAATTAATGATAATTGCCATTTGAAACTCCTGGTGGATCCAAGAGTAAGCCCCCAGTTTAATCCTTGTTGTCATTACTTGATGATCGGCTTAAATGAGTTGTGCCTTTTTTATACCCTAACAAACAGCACTGTGTTCCTCATCGCTCTGCAGGAGATTTTCAGCAATAAATTGACAGTGCTGAAAAACCTGAAGTCCAGATTTCACAGGACCAAACCTAGGACTCCCTTGCAAAATGTGATGGCAGCAGGTGAAGGGACAATTGAACAGTTATGCAGAGACTGCAGGCTGAGTGGACTTTGAAGAGAAGTTGACATCTATGCTATCAAATCCAGCTGACGCAAGAGGAGAGTTAAAAATCCTCCTCTCACTTAGCCATTTCAGAAACTGGCTACTCTCCAGATGTAATTGTGGAATATTAGTTAAACCTGGGCAGCTGTTTAGACTCTAAGTGGCCAGAGAAAAACCTTGATTTGCCTTCAGTCGCACTCTCTTAGGGCAAGCTGTTAAGTGTTCACAGCAGGCCGATATAACATAGTACAGCATGTGCATGCTCGGACATGTTCAGCTCTTTGCGACCCCATGGACTGTAGCCTACCAGGGTCCCTTGCCCATGGAATTTTCCGGGTAAGAATACTGGGGTGGGTTGCCTTTTCCTTCTCCAGAGGATCTTCCCAACCCAGGGACTGGACTCATGTCTTTTTGCGTCTCCAGCTCGGCAGGCAGGTTCTTTACCACCTAAACCACCAGGCATGCCTGTACAGCAGGCTGATAAATAGGCTTTTATGCCTGGGTTTTCAAGTAAAGAAATAATTATGGACAATAAATCAGGGCTTTCTTAAAATCTGGCTTCTCTGAACCTCCTTTGGTTTTTTCATCCTTGTCACATCGACTCTCCTTACCCAGTACCACTTCTCACTGTCATCTGGTTAATTTAACAAATACTTATCAATCCTTTCCTAACAGAGAAGAGTGGTATGATCTGACTT